ATCTGTTAAACGAATTAAATTAGAATGGAGAATAACATCGCCCAATGTCACATTGCGGTCGTTGTATTATTTTTTGTTCGTCGTTCTCAGAAAAGGAACGCCGCGATTATGAGTCATCGTTTAGTGGTCGTTTGCAACTGTTTACTTCGTTTTCCTTTGTAATCTGCGCATTAAATCTGGCGCCCGAAAACGAAAATTGACGGCCGACTATCTGTCATCGCTCGAATAATAAATCTGTTATGACTCGACCGCACCTGCCGTTTAATTTTCAAGTTTACACACACCACACACTTTAAAAAAACATTGTGTGTAACCATCTGGCTTGCAGAGATCGTCTACCAGTGAGAGCGGAGGGTGACGATCTTGGGAACGAACGTCCCGGAGGAAAAGGATCTCTCGGATTAAATTAAATTAACCTCGCCTGCTGGCGAGAGAAGAAGGATTCGCATCGAAAGGAGTTTTCGTTTTCTTCTTTGCACTGAGAGCTGTGTTCCCTATTAAGGCATGTCGAGACGCCGACAGGATTCCGTACGCGCCCGAAGAATAGCTACAAACGAGGGGCATTACCATGAGTGGCCATCGGGCTCTTCGACTATCCCAAGAATGCCATAAGCCGTGGATCGCTGGCTACGCACCGCAGGTGTCGCGCGTTCGTCGATGGAAAAACCTGTCGAGATTTGCAACTGATGGCTAAATCAAATCCCTTCAATTTAATTTACTTTTTTAAGTTATTCTAAGACATCTCATTTTGTATATAGCTTCTTTGCCGTTCTATTAGTTAAGCTTAGATAAGCTTATTGTTAAGAAGACGTTAATGAATTTGCCCAGAAAACAAAGATGGCGGCTATAAGTCAATTTGTTGCATGAAACACTTTAAAACGATAAAGAGGAAAGAAGAAGTTATCTGGGGGTAAGCTGCTTTGAAATCGTGTGCCGCAGCATCGCGAGCGACGGGTATCGATCTCTTTTGTAAGAAGGTTCTCGACGCGTTTGCGCCGCGCCATCTGGAAGTGTGGTGGCGGGTCCCGCGCGCAATTTACGGACGGCCCCTTTGTTGGGGACGATGAGGCCCGTCCGCCGACTGCTTGATTACTTAATCGCCGCGCGTCATTAGCGCGTCCACTATCGATCAGCCGTCGCGTTTCGATCCAATTTATTAGTGGCGCAGCTTTCAAAGAACCCCACCAACGTCATCCAGAAACACTGAAAATGGCGTGTCAAGGTCCACTTAATTATAATCGATTCGTTAAACGTATACATTTCTAATTAATTTATTATCAATTTTTTATTTAAGTTTATTTCGATCATGCGTCGTGAGCAGGGTGAAGACGAAACGGCCCGAAGTCGGATCTAAGAATAGGACGAAACCCAGAAATAGAATGGGAAATAGTCGAAAGGCGATTTCGTGCGGGACAAAAGACGCCCGCTTCAAGGACTTATTCGAAACAAAGTAAACCCATTGTAACGTCGATTTTTGATTGATTTATTGTTGTGTTAGTTTGAAATGGAGTGTAAAACTCAAATGACGTGGAGTCTCCCAAGAACACATATTACACTGTGATACCAAATCTTTAAACATTAATATGTTATGCAAAGATTTTAAGTACAGCAAAAAAAGCTGAGTTTAACACTCCATATGTAGACTAACATTTTATGACGAAACCCAGAGGTGACTAAACAGGAAGTGTAATGAGATACCATAGGGATTATCGAGGGAGAGATTTACACGCACGCAGCTAAAAGATAGATTCAGAGTTCCCGATCGAATGAAGAGGAAGGCTGATGTTTTTTTTTTTTTAAATTTTTTATTCGGGCGCCGCGGCAGCTGCTGCGCCGACTGGTTTTATTTATTGGGGCCGTCCGGCCGAATATGGAAAGACCAGCAAACCTGGTGTGGTGCCGCTGGCGTTGAAGCGAATTCCAAGACGCGCGACAACCGCCCGCCGAAGCCCCGCGAGATGTTTTCATATCGCGTAGTAGTAATAGTGGTAGCCGACGAGGGAAATCGGCGAAAACAATGCCAAAACGGCCTTGGCGATTTCGCAATTACTCTGCCGCATAATTAACGGTCGTTAAATGAGCGCTCTCTTGCAAAAACTATACTCACACAACCATGTTATTAGGTCGTTAAGTTATTGTTGTGTAATTTTATTTATTCGCAGTTTTATTTGAAATGTAAGTAGAGATAACTGGCGGAAATACCGGAACGTCCGTTTGATCCCCATCGGTATTCGGAGCGAAGTCGGGTTCCCAAATCAAGTTTAAATCGAAGCATAATAGAGGGCTCCGGAGATGGGGGTGTTCACCCTCGGCACCGCGTCGATTCGGGCGCTGCCGGCGGTATGTTGAACTTTCTGACGAACAGGCTGCGGCTCGGCACAAGTGCCCGGCAAATCAATAACATCTCGGAGCAAGACCGCCACACCTCGACGCCTAATTGGTCTCTCTCCGTCCCTCAATTTCTCTCTTTTCATCCATTTCGAGTTCACAACCCCTTTCTTTTAATACCAAAACATAAAACTTAATAATAAGTTATAACGATGAAATTTACGCCATCTACTAAAATCTATTAACACTAATCTAATGATGTAATCCAATATGACATCAACTTAATCTAACCACAACAACACCTTAAAATTGTATCATCCCCATAATTATAAATTTCTCCAAAAGCCATGAATAATGTATAAATATCGAATATTTAAACGACGATTTACGATTACGATTAAGATTAACTCGCGCGGTTCGCGGCAGATACATCTATTTATAAAACGTTTCAAGGTCTTCTCGGCGCGTCATATCTCGCTTCGACGTCTCTCGCATTATATCTTTAACTGAATTCATATCGCGATTCCAATTGGAGATCGTTACGTGTCGATTTTTTTTTATTTGGCTTAAAACAACGAAGCCCGTTGTGTTTAATCCACGCAAAATCGGTTGAAATTTTTTTATGGTTAACGGTAACCTTGGTTTTTGAATCGATTGTCGTAAAATTTATCGAACGTATATTTCTACTGCGTCTCAGAGTCGAAAGTTAACCTTGTCGCGACCTCGCGCGACGCCCGGCAATTGAATAAAATAAAAAAATATAGAGGACGCGAAAAAAAAAAACATTTGCGAGGATTATCGAAGCGCGATCTGTTGACGGCATTTTTAGAGCTAGGTCATAACGTTATCGGGCGGAAGAACGCATTTCCTTCGCAATATTATGACCTATTTAGATAAAAATCGTAAACCATCTAACATTACATAAAATATAGTCATAGTAAAGTAGCATATATTGTGAAATAACGATTTTTTTTGTTATTTGAATTGAAACTTTTTACTTCAAGTTCTACTTTCTTTCGTTCCAATTCCGCGTATAAATAGTCAGATGTTAAAAATAGGGTCTGATCGGAACTTTTTCAACTAATTAACGGGCGTCACGCGAGACCCCTTTTGAATGAGAAAAAAATCGTCAATAACCGACCGACGAAGCGGTAACAAAAGCGGATGGTGTTCCATTAAAGGGCGAACGATTCCCTTTCTATCGCTCGTAATCTAATAACGACTAAAAGGTTTGCCAACCTAACGAGATCGCGACAACGCACGCTGAATACAAATGGCGATTTAACGGACGACGTTTTCTCGAATCAAATCTCGTGGCAAATATCGCCGTAAGATCCTCATCTCTCGAGAGATTGTACCTCGTCTTTGTGATATTCGTTGTGAAAAATAAATTTTATTTTTATTGAATTATGCAACCAAATATACATATATTAAGTCGGGAAAGTTTTCACAATATTAGTGAAATGTTAATGAAAATTGCAGTTTTTGTAGTTATCATAGTTGTAGTTTACGCATACACAGTTGATACAGTAATTTTAAAGTTTATAAACTTCTTCAATATGGAGGCAGCGTTACAACATCATGATCCAATCACGAGACGCTTTCTAGTCCTGCACTCTATTGTTGAATAGACAAACTAAATTTTAGTAAATAGTAATAAGAAAGATATAAAAAAAAATTCATTGTTTTACTCAAGTTACCATACGGAGTATTCTTTAAGAAGTCTTTAAGGTACCACCATAAATCCGAATTAAACCGTGCTTAACTCGCTAATAAACGATAATCGCCCTGTAAAAATGTCGCCCGCAAGTCAGTTTAATTATCGCGCTTAATTGGTTGCGCGGCGAGCCGAGTAAACGCCGTAAAACAAATTTAATTAATTGAGAACGTGTCTGGGAGGAGGTATTTCGGCATACTACCACACTCCATCGTTTTCTCCTCTTCGTCCGTCGGTGCGCTTTGGAATCCCGACCCCGTAAGCGTAACCCGTGAATTACCGCGGATGGCATCTGAACGACCGACAATCATGGGTAATAAAATAGCCGAAAGAAGATAAGTCCGCAAGACGTGAAGAGAACCGCGTCGAAAATGTTGAGATTTCACGACTGAATTAGGTCGTGTATGATTCGTTTGGTTACGTGTCATGGTCGTTAGACGACTCTTTAATACGATCTCCGACCGAGAATGGCATCAATAAATTGCAAATGAGCCATAAACGATCCTCGAAGAGAGACGTATAAATTATTTATGAGACTTGTTTTTGTGGAAATTATTTTACAATAAATTTTCAATAAATAGCCTTTAACAACTATAGAGAAAGATGAGAACATAGTCTCTAGCAGGAATCTAATTATCCTGCTCTGTTAATCTTCCGGGAGCAACCCTCCAAGCATGGTGAAACGAGCCGCTAATGAATTAATTTTGGGCCGTGTCGCGCGAGGCTATTTGGGGCCAAAGCACTCCCTTTATCTCCAAACTAATTGTCTTTAAGATTTACCGACGATTAATTTAATTAACGATTTGTTAATAACAACGCTCGTGTACCTAAATATTATTTCATATTTTTTTCCTTGAAACGAAAAATAATTGTTAGTTCCGGTTTTGATTAAAAGTGCGAGCTTTTTTGTTCGTTTCGTCGAAAAAAAAAATGAACAAAATAGCGCTGCACGGTAGTAGTCGCGTTTCATCCCGGACGGTCGCATTGTCACGCGGCGTATCCGGTGTAAATTAAATCGCGAGTGAATAACGTCGGGCGAAAGCGGCACGAAATTAATTCCCGTAATTCAATCCGGGACGCGCGCGTATATCGACCGATCTCATTCGTTACGCTTCTGCATCGTCCTTTCTCTGCATACCGACGAAACTAGGAAACCTTTTTGAAAAAATCATTACAACGGTCTTTTGATATATCCCCAATGCAATCGTTTATAACTACAATGAAATATGCGCCCATTTTGGATTACCACCCAAACAATGTTTATTTGGAAAAAGATTTAATGCAAACTTCAAAGGATTCTTATAAAAACAAATAAGTACTTTAGTGAGATTTTTGCATCTTTGGTACACACTTGATTCTTCAAACTTGACTCTATGGAGACTTAATGGCAAGTTGATGCATGTATGATAAAATAAATGTTCAAAGTGGAATAAGGACTAAGATAAAATCGATAAAGATATCATGCAGTCTTAATGCACTCTGAATAAAACTTTAGACATACTTGCGCTGATGAAAATAAGGAGAACATTTGTAGCAGAGATGATGTAGACTTTATATGAAGTTATCTGCTTGATGAAAACTTGATTCTTCAGACTTGACTCGGTTCAGACTTAATGGCGAGTTGATGCATGTATGATAAATGTTCAAAGTGGAATAAGGACTAAGATAAAATCGATAAAGATATCATGCAGTCTCAATGCACTCTGAATAAGACTTTAGACATACTTGCGCTGATGGAAACAAGGAGAACATTGCAGCAGAGATGATGTAGACTTTATATGAAATTACTTGCTTGATGAAAACTTGATCCAGACATTATGGAGTACTTCATAAAGTCTACGTCCTAGCAATCTTGAAGGAGTTGTCATGCACTCATAGATGCAGTTTTGATAGAATCTTGATTCTGTACTTCCGTTATGATTCTGAGTATGAAGAATTTCAAGCTTTACTTATAATGGAATTCCATTAAATTAATTTTTTTCTGTATCATTCCGAATTTCTATAACCAAATAATATAATCATTTATCGTGTATAATTAGAGTGTAATAAATCAGGTTTGCGTCGGTAATTCTTTAATTAAATTCATCTCTCGAGGTCGTGGTTCTGTTCTCTCTGGATCGTTGTCGATTAATCACCGAGAGGCCGTCGGGGGCTATGACGGTTTTTAATGCCCCGTCAAGTGTAAATAAAGCGAAGAGACGACCGTGACCACCGTAGAGAGATGAGGAGGCCTTCTTCGTCCCGTATCTATTTCTCTCGGGCGGTCGAACAGTTTTTGCGCGGATCCTTCATCGAAACGGAGTGGGGGGGACTATTAATTACTTTTGTTAGGGGGGCTCCAAAACGATGTCTCATTCACTTGCGAAAGGGCGTAGCCCCCCAAAGAATTCCAGTCCCCCTTTTGCGAGCAGATAATTGATTCTCTGTCCCACCTTTTTAACTCTTTCCCTTTGCGAAGAAGATGAAACAAAACTGTTACACACTACTCTTCGGAGTCTACAGTCTTCTCTGTATTCAATGGTTCATCTTCTTTTACGTTGGAACATCTGCCGAGCGACGCGACCGGTTTCCTCTTCTTCTTGTTCGTCGTCGTCTTCTCATGCGTCGTTGTCGGGTTAAAAGGGGTTACCGACGCGGCAAGTTTTTACAAGTTCAGTTCGGCGCGAGTATGCAAAGGTAACGATTAAACCACCACGAGTGGGCGCTTCGATTGTGTTCTTCTGTTCCTCTGTTCGACGATTGTCTCGCTTTGAAACAATGCAAGGACGAGTGGATTCCCCCCATTTAGCCTCTCTCTCTCTCTCTCTCTCTCGATTACTTAGTACATGTGTTGTAGCCTTGAAGTATCCTCATCAAACATGCGACCGCCGGATTGCTTCGGTATACACTCTCTCTCGGGGTTAATGCGACCTCAGGCATAATATTTACATCGTTAGTGGCGACCCTGTCCTGTTAATTATTGACCGCAAAACCCTTGATAGTATGGCGAAGGGATCACATCAAATTTAATCGCATAAATTAATAATTAACAAAGAGATGGAATCGACGTGAATGAATTGTTAAAGTTAACGTCGCAGTCAAAGGAACGATGATGACACTGGGGATTTAATTACGAATTCGCAGCGGGAAATCAAAGGGGATAGTCGTATCGGTTCGGTGCACTTTGTGTTGGTAATTGTAGGTGATTTCCAAGAATATTAACCGAAAAAAATGAAATAAAAAAGTGGAAATTTAAATATTTGCGTATCATCATGTAACCCTGTGTTTACTCAACCTTTTCCGAAGGGGGAATTTTCAATATTACCTCCTCACCACATCCTTTGAAAGGTTTACCCCAAATCCAGAGTAAAACTTTCGTTAAATCCCTTTAGTATATACTAGGTGGCGTGCCTGGTTATAAATGATTATCGCAACAGTTTAATTTGAATACGGTGTTTAATTAATGCAGTTTTGGTAAACGGATCAATTCATTAAAATGATTCGTTTGGATCTAATTACTCTGTAAATCGGGTTGGTTCTATTATAACGTTATAAAGCCTAATTAAATTGTTTTGATATGAAAAAAATTAATGTATCATTTCATTTTCAGTCCGAGCAACACGGCCCTCAGCTCATTGGAGCAAGTAAAAGAGTACCTGTTAACGCCCGGGACGTGCAAGTGCGGTCTGGAGTGCCCTCTGAAGTCGGACTCGGTTTTCAACTTCGATCCAAAGGTGAGAGGTCTTAACTTTGTTATCCGAAAAGTTTAGCGGAGGTAATTCGATTTCGAATCGTTAAACGCTAATTGATCCGCCCCCCGTTTCGAATCGAATTATCATCCCGCCCGAAAAACATTCCGTTCGAATCATGTCCACTTCGGGCTCGATCGGTCGAAAAGCTATCGTGACCCTTTTTCAACCCCCCTTCGAAAATAAAGTCTGATCCCTTTACTTGGTGATCTCCACCACTTTGTCTTCGTTGAACCTGGAAAAAAGGTAAAAGCCGCGTCGCCCGAAGTTTGTAAAACACGACGCCTTCGAGACGGTAAACTATTGGATCCGATCTCCGGGGGCTGTCGCATCTTGAGGGAAAATGGGTTTTCCTAAGTGACGTGAAGTGGAACTTACTTCACTCACCCCGACTAAGAATCAATAAAAGAACACTTACGTGTTTGTTCACTTTATAGTTAGAAATCTCAAATATCTTTAATTTAATACGTCAAAGAGAAAAGTAGTACTCGGCGTAGGAATTCAATTTGACGTCAACTTAATCGAAAATGCTAATACAAGACTCATGTATTCATTGATTTCGAGGTTTTTTGTAATGATATATATTTTTGACGTTTTGATGGAACTCTAGAGCTGGTTAAAACGTTCCTAACCTTTTATGATCGATATTCAATATCGCGATTTAACCAACAGGTGCACCCTCAACCACCCTTTTGTTTCAAACCTAAAAAAAAAATAAATAAAAAAAACCGGTGGCAACATTAAATATGCATCAAACACCCCGCTTGGCGTGAACTACTACAAATCTTCCCCTGAGGGTCACCTCGACCCCCTTTTACGAAAAAGGGCGGGTTTGGGCATGTATTATTCAACGATCTGATCTGCTGAAATATTTAAAGGGCCGATTGAATCGTTACAAGCGTGTCTTGGATTCAAACGCGCCTCGTTTATATTAAAACCAAGGTGAGAAGAATGTGTTAAACGCCCGGAGCATAATAATTGGTTATTAGCCGATGAATCGAGATTAAAATCAGGAATAATTCGAGCAAATTGCCGGCCGTCGTTAAGCGGCACTAACAAAGAAAACTAGTAAATTGGCAACGCAGAAGTGCTGATGTAATTAATATCGGAGCTACGATCGCGAACTCGCCAGTTTAATTGGCCGAAAAGAAAAACGATAACCAACGTTGAATCATCATCGTCATCAACGTGTTTATAACCAATAATTTCTAGTTGAATCAAGAAATGATTTTATAAACTAAGTGGTTATGTTGTCGAGGTAGGTATAATTATAATGAGTCTATTTACATAATTTTTAATATTAGTTCCCATTCACCATTTATCAAATTATTATGACGCAGGGTAATGTCTTCATGTATAGTGAGTCAAAGTGATTTCTTTAGTAAAGTCAGAACTGTACTCATTTCAATATTTTCGCTGGCATGGCAGCTTGCGGACGTTTGATTGAAGGCAAAACAGCAGAAAAACCTCGCAAATTCTTCATGCGCTCCAACTTCTAGGACATCCGAAACAATTTGTAAATTTGTAATTGAACTAAAAGTAGAACTAATACTATGAATATATACAACGAATGTTTCTAGTTCTAGGTTTAGTGTTAGTTCTAATGCTAGTACTAGTTCTAGTTTTAATTATTAGTTTTAATTATTAGTTTTATTAATTATTTTAATATTTTTATTGGACTTAAAGTAGAACTAACACTAGACCTAGAATTAGAATTATTTGGGTTTAGCCGTCTTAAGAGACGTATGGCTAACCTGAATATTTTTAGTTCTAGTGTTAGTGTTAGCCGTACTTTTAGTTTTATCTGCATTTTATCGATCATTAATAATTAATTCGTTATAAATTTTTTTTGGTTCCTATCACCACCGTATTTAATTCGATTCAGTTTTCAGATAAAAGCTCGAATTATCTGCACGAGTTGAATCGCGTGTCTGGAATCCATCGGGCGTCCATTGTGTTAGCACACGAAAGAGTGAATATAATACCAAGCGCGCGTTATCCGGTAACTTTATTATCCAAGATAACGACCGAATTGGCGAGCAATTCCCGTCCAATTTCCTTCGGCAATGAAGACGAGCTGTCGTCGTAATTTTCACGTTTCCGTCATCAATTCGATGTATCTCTGATTACGATTTATTGCTACCATTATAATTCGTAAAGATACATTCAGTTAGACTTGAATTGAATTATAATATTCGACTTATCTATTATGTGTAATTTGGATGATAATAATGAGTCATGAATTGTGTTTTAATTAACGACAATGCATAAACGTTTACGTGACGGACACAAAAAGCGTCCGTTTCGTTGTCGCTTTGAAAGCGTGCCGTTTCGTTGCGATAATCCAAAAACAAGCGCGCCACTCGGAATAATTAGTTCTGGTCGCATAAAAACCCAATTAATGCGCCGTAGGCACGCAACCATATTTACATAACGAACCCGGCGATTTTGACGCTAATTAAGGCGACAACTCGCCTGAAAAACGGCCGCGTTTCAACAACCCCTCTCACTCTCACCCCATCCACTCCTCTTTTTCGAGTTTCCACCAAAGTCCTCTGCTGTTTTTAATTATTTTTTTTTATTCATTCTGAAATCCCAGACTCGTTTCGATTCCGCTTTTTTTGAACTCGTCCCGAACATCTGTTCAACAGTCAGGGAATCCGGAAAACGAAACGGGATGAAAAATTTTACCACAAAAAAAAGATAATTTGACAACTTTGTGAACGAGATCAGATTGGAATGAAGGAAATTTGAAGAAAAGGAAAATTTATTGCCTCATCTTTTATTAATTGGAGTTCTTTGGAGGTAGCGTCGCGACGGCGGCGTCGATTAGGGTTGCATTTGTAGTGTGTAAAGAGCCCTTTTAGGTGCACACGCACCGCCCGCTCCATTAAGATCCCTATCAAAAGCCTAAATAATCACTTTTAATGGGGGATATCTCGTATCAATATTAATGTATGCACGGGGGAAATCGATCGTAGCGCTAGGTGGTTGGTTTTTTTTTCTTCGCATATGCATGAGAAGTGAGTGAAAGAGTGGACGTAAAACGTCTGTTTCGTGACGATCACGTGACCAGGCGTCGAATAATGAGCGATGCGTGCGTGACTGTTAATTTCAAGGTGGTAAGACAGTTAGTCGATGATTATTAACGGAAAAGGTGGGGTTTTTGAAATGAATTGGAGGTAAATTTTGAGATGGGGGAGAAAGCAAAACACAAAATTGTTTGTAGTACTAGGAAAAGGGTGAGCCGTTTCGCGAATTGCAATTTCGCTCAGTTTTATTGTTCCCGACAGGCGGATGAATTTTTTATGGGGACCGAGTCGCCGTCGAGCGCAACTCTCGCAATTCAATTTCTCCTTTGTTACCGATATAAATGGTCCCGGATATTAGGGGCCGAGATCTCCGGCGCTTCCGACGGAAATAAAATTCGGCTTTCCGACGGATTTCTTATTAGAATTTATAAATGAAACGAATTTCAACCCATCGATTTAAGGTTTTTTTTCTTTCGGTTCCAATAAATATCATTTTTGGGAAATCCAACATGAATTGAGATGATCATGCAAACTTTGTAGCACGTTATAGAATATAATTACTCATATCATGGCTTCAATTTGGATTAATACAAATTTGGACAGCCGTTATGTTCAGTCTAAAGTAATCTTATATTTATACTAAGGATGGTACAATTTGAGAAGATTGCTACATACCGGGAATAAGTGCACAACTCGAAGACCCGTCCGTGACGTCAGCGCTGAATAACAATTAAAACTAGAACTAACACTAGACCTAGAACTAAAAAGTTTCGGGTTTAGCCGTGCGTCTCCAGACAAAAAAAGCGATGTTTCATTCCGTATATTAATAATTGTTCAATAACAGGACATAAATCTCCCCTTATTAGTTTCAACATCTCATTACATAAAGATCTAAGTATTATTTTGGAGAAGAATAACAAAAATATATGCAGAAAGATTCACGTTATTTCATTTATTTTTTGGACATTATTAATTTAAAACCAATATAATAAATAAATTGAATCAGCTTATAAAGATTTCTTATTAAAAAACTATCTTGTCCAACAAGTTTAAGATTGAAGACTTCATTAAGGACCCTTTACCACACATTAATTGACGTCTTGCGAGGAAAATGTCGTTGACGTTTTGTTACCCTAGGTTGTTTTCGCGGTCGCAATTATTGTTGCCCGATTTATGGTCGGACGCATAAAAGGCACTCGAATGAAGAGTTAACGGCTCGGGATATTAATGTTCCGCGACCTGACGACTCAATAAAACGCAAAGAAAAGGTTTCGTTGTATTTATTTCATTTTTTATTGCCATACCTCATATATCCCAACTGAACAGGTGGTATTTTAGTAACATATCTCTGACGTCCTTCTTAAAAGTTAAATCTTCGTCTTTCGGTAATTCCCAGTTATAATCCAAGTTAAATGGGAGTTTTGATAAGATTCTTAGTTCGCATTTAATTTGTACCCAACCCGGACTTCTAATGAACGACCAATTATGATACCAATTTTGTATGATTTCCTCGCATGAACAAAAAATTTCAAACCATAAATGTAAAACTTGTTCGTTTAATCCTAAACAAATTAGCGATCTAAATTTAACGTCTTCGTTTACTTTTGCGTGTGTTAATTCGATTAGATGGATTGATCGAAATAAAATTTCTTCTGGGGTTAATATTTTTCCGTTGTCTTCTAATTTATATGTTTTACATAAAATTAATCGGCTGTAGATTGCTTCGTAATTGGAGTCGGAAATGTTTTTAACAATGGTTTTTATGAAGTACCAAGGATGTTTTTGGTTAAAAAAGCGATGTTTCATTCCGTATATTAATAATTGTTCAATAACAGGACATAAATCTCCCCTTATTAATGGCGAGATTATTTTTGAAATGTTATCATCGCCGGCACAGCTGTAAGATTTCGTTCTTTCGTCGAGAATTTCAACAAATTTTGCCGGAAACCAACCGATTTTTCCGTTAAGTTCGCCAACCCAACAATGTTCATCTTTGCAATTAAGTAATGTTATGATGTTATTTTTCATAAATCCAAGTTCGTGGTCTTCGTATTTTATAAAATCAAATAATGCTTTAGCCCTTAATTTTTTTCCAAAATCGATTAAGTTCTCGTAACATTCTTTGTCTTCTTCGTGACCATTCGCTGAATAATCCACTTGAGTTACCGATAAAAAACTTTCGATGATTTGCGGATCAGCGTTAAAGAAATAGTTTACAATTTTTGATATTACTTCTTCAACGCGACGTAAAATCTCATCTCCGCTTAAATTTTTTAATTTTGATGATTTTTGAGATTTCAATTTCAAAAATCCAATCGATGAAGATAAACTTTTGGAGAAATCCGATAATTTTGATATAGTTTCTTCTCCCACAACGATATCATATACGAGGCTAACCGTATTTGTTAGTGCAGAATTAATATAATGCACTGTGTTCATTTTAAATAAATTAATGTTCCACTGACATTCTCGGAGACAGATTTGATGGATTTCCCGAAACGTCATTAAATTTAACAAAAAGTTTTGTTAAAGAAAACAAAGCGAGAAAGAGTTAAGAACTAAGTGAGAGAGTTAGAGCTCGTTAAGGATTCATTTATGTAAATGTCCATGTTGGAATATGCTAATCGAATTTGTAGCCGTGTGTAATCGGCGTATTTTATCTGATTAGCCCGGTTGTTTTGCAATCGATCGCAGCCCGACTAGGACGTAATTCGTGCCGTGCGCGTATTTGTCGTGCTGGGAATGTTTATGTTTTACTCACGGAATCCAAATTGACCATTTGATACTGCGTTAAAAGTTATTTTTAATATTTACCCGTTATGTAACTCGCTTTATTTGAATAACTTAACCTTGAAACGACACGATAAAATCATAATAAATTATGATTTCTTTTTAAACCCAGATCATTTACCTGTCATTGGTGACACCTTGCTCTTTTTATATACAGTGGCGAACAAAAATCTACCTACATCATTGAATTGAGGTTTTTGTGCAACGTAATAAGATAACAGAAAATTAGTATTACAGTGTGATTAGAAATACATTTTCAACATTTAAAGTACCTATCATCCATAATATAACAACGAAATAATAACAATAATAAAATATTTTTCCAGTACTGTATGTTTTGGCGCATACTGTATGTACTTTTGTCGTGTTAGTTTTTGCATTGTTTGCTGAATTTTTATTATGTAGCTATTGAGCGATTTGTTTTTTGTTTTTTTTTGTGAATAAGTATCTCTAATCACACTGTTATACTAATTTTTTATTATCTTCTTATGTATGATTATTATATTATATCTTACTTTTATCCATCACCGTATATTTTTTTCCACTTATTTATTTCAGTTGAAAAAAGTGGTTTATGTCACCTCTTTGAGTACGGTTATAAAGTGTCGAGAGAAACGGTGTGAAATTCGTTGTTGATGCGATGGAATTTGCGGTTATAACTTGTAACGACCGTTTACCGTTTGAGATTGTGGGTCGAAGGTCGAAGCAAATGGAACTCAACCATTTATCGACTCGATCGTGTTCATCTGTTCTTTAAAATACATCAATAAAAATACTATTTTAACAACATAATCTAATCATTAATAGTGGCAAAGAAGGGATACTCTGAATTGAACATATATGTTCAAGTTAATTATTTTTGATTGATAACAAATTTAACTAGGCAAATACACGTGGTGATGATTTGAATAGTAGCTCGGAAACTGGCTCACATAGGTTTAATAATTGAGATCGCGTTCCCGAGCTTTCATACCTCACGTATACCTTCGAGGGTGAATCCTTATTATAGCTCACGTTATTTGATTTCAGGTTCCCGGCAAACCATGGACCCTGTCACCGGATACGAACCAGGGCGACCTAACCAAATTGTGCAACCACAAGAGGAAATTACCGTCTATGGCTTCTTCCCTCGGGTGTAAATCGCCCGACCCTGGCAAGCTTCCTAAAGGTAATTAAATACACTCGCAATAAATTATAACTTATACGTTAATTATTCGTTAAGTGATTTTATAAATGTTTTAGGTTTAATTTTATTCGAGTTATAAATTTAGAAGAATTAAATGGGGGGAGGTTGATCCCCGATGATTCTCGTTATTCAGCAAAACCCTCCTGCTACTACGCTTCGTGAATAAGTAGGACATAAATACGGGCACGGTTCCGTCCGTGTGAAAGTTAATTTATCCTCTGGAATAAACGCCGCCTGGCCCCCCCGCAAGAGCTTATAAATCCGGCTCCACGGGGCGATTGATTTATACCTGCGGGAGGCGAGGGAAACGATAAAGTGGCCGTGTAGAGTAGCAGGGTGGATTTACCGCGACTCGGGGCGAACGCCGACGCCGTGAAATACATTTAAATTAATACGCTTGGTATACGGTTTTTGACGCTTATTGCTTTTCTGGGCTTTAATAATGGTAAAACGTTTTGGAGGGGGATGTCAATCATGTTGGCGAAGCTAAACAACGAGAATTTTACGAGTTTTTATTGGTGGATGCGCCGGGAATAACACAAACATATTGAAATTTATTAAATCGATTCGTCATCCGATATTAAATTTAACAGTTATGGCCGTATATAAAGATCGTTAAGGGTTTGCATAAAGAGATTTACAAACAAAGCGTCGTACAAGTCCGGGATAAGGATCGAAAAATTTGTTTCGCAGTTACCGGACCGTGAAACGCCCGCATTGTTTCTTTGAACGCACCAAAGAAGGCCTTCAAGGAGGCTGCATTCAAGGCCCTTTAAATTTTTAACCTCGTTTTATTGAAACGGAAGCAGTAAATAAAAGTTTTTATAACCAAATTGAAACCGATAGTAGTCGTAAAGTTACAACAATGCGCGCGAGCTCTCGCCATAAGAGATCGCTTTAAAACCAGGAAGATGTCCGAGATAACTTGTTCTTTTTATTCCTCTTTTGAACGGGTGGAACAGAGAAAGAGAAAGAGTCTCCGGCGCACCTCAGATTCCACGGTCGTTCACCGTTGACCCCTGCGCGCACGGCCCGCGTTCAGAGCACAAACGCGCGAGATCTGTGTATCCTTACACAAATTCACGAGCTCTCGTCCTATTCTCCCTTCTTCGGATTGCGCAACGTTCGTTCTCTCCTTCGGTGTCATTGCCACGATACCGATCATCATCAACATCATCCAATCCGAACAAGAATTCAAACGAGATATTCAGATAAGAAGACCAAAATAGAAAGAGCAGGGTATTTTTAATTTAAAAATTTAACATAATGAACCCCCTTTGACAAGACCTCACGCGGCGTTAACGCAAACAATGACGGGTTAAAGTGTCCCGTTGTGGACATTAACGCTTTTCAAGCTTGACGTATGTATAAGTAATCAACCAGTTCGGCGATGGGTGTGCCCTTTGTAAATGAGATTCAAAACGGCGCTATTATTATGTCCACACAGTGCAACATCAATCTTGATCGATGATAATTTGATATAGTAATATTTTATATAGTTACATATTAATAAAAATGAGAAATACGTTGTAAAAAGGTGCACGCGATTGAAGGAAAGGTCAATAAACCGTCGAAACTTTCTAATTACCGATGAAACGCATTCAATCTTAAACGAACGGGTCGTAAACTCGAAGAGAAAACATCCAATCGTGTTTCGTTGAAAATTAATTGGGATTAGAAAACGCGCTCGTGGTCCAAACTTCTCCTTCTCCCGTCGAATCAATAATCGGATTCTTAATTAGATATTTTCCAGTAAACGACCGTCTCGGTTTTGTTCCACGCAGCAAATGATGTAATTTCCTTTGACCGGATTTAATTAGAAATTCTCTCAGAGACGAAGAAATTGACGTGCTAAACTCGTTGAATTAGACTTATTTTTTAAGGAGAGTTAAAAAACAAAGCGACCAGTGGCGTGGCGGCGAAGCTTTAGTCCGTGACGATATAGGGAGAGCCCTCCCCATTGTTCTCGCGCGCGATTGTCGTTTTTACCGGCGCCGCGTCGCATTATTAAGAAAACGAGGCAGCTGTCCCAAAATTTAACGAACCGGTTGTTTTCCTCCCCTTTCGTTTCACCATACCTTTTCAGCTGCTGTCTCCCTTTGACACGAGAACCGACATAATTAAATCGAGGTAATGCTAATTAGTTATTATCTCATTTTTTATTCATCTTAATATTATTTATTTATTATTATTAATAGACATCATAATCTTGTTTAATGTTCCAATTATTGTGTGATTGCAATTAAAATCTTCCGAATACGGTCGTAGCTACAAACAATGACGTTGTATGAAACAAAAGATCTTAGTTTAGGGGGCGTTAAGTCACCCCTTTTGTAACGTGAATGAGTAATACCACTTCCGACAGGTGTAAATTATTGCATGTGTCATGTTTTATTACTCACTCCATTATTTAGGGGGTGACTTAAATAGTAAAAATTGTTACTATTTAGCAAGTGAGAAAGATCTGTTATTATACTGTCTTAATATAGTCTCCATAAACCTTTTTTATGGATGTATCTCTTGCAATTAAAAGGGGCCCATCTTCTCTGCATTTCCACATACAGTGAATTTCAATTAAAATGCAATATATTAAAATATATTTCCATTGAAGTTTTTATTGAACTAAAACTAGAACTGAAAGACTGATATTATACTGAGTATTATATTTAGGAAGTCTTATTTTAAAGTTCCGTATCTTAAGTGCTTTGTTTGGAAATGAAACAAATTGGCTTTAATGTTGTTTTGGATTTTAGCATCCTTTTTGACAACCTCCTTCATTAATTTTCTTTCTTCCACGATTTCGGCTAGTGTTGGCCAGAACAAAATTTTTAATATTTAAAGGGATATATCTTTATGTATTTTTTTGTTGAAATTCTAAAATTAAATGTGTAGAGTGATTTTATTGAGTCAGTGTGCATCAAAAAGATGAACTCGATCTTTGGATATTTAAACAATTCTCGATCGGATGCCCTCAGGAGGCAGCATTCATCTGTCCGCGCCGGCACCCAATGAATAATTCAACGAGGAATAAATTTGCTGCCGTGATCTCCTGCCAGCCAAAGAGAAAGAGACACTACTCCGCGGTACCTGTTTGCGCGCATTCGTCGCCTTCAGGACATGTTTTCCCCCGGGGATAAATGCAAATTAAAATCTGGGATCCGGGCAAATAATAAAGCACCGTAAAAAGTCGATCTCGTTCCGTGTGGAACCGTCGAGAACCTCTTGAGGGAGCGAGCTCTTCGAAAACATCAAAGTGAATATAGTCGATGCGAAAGAGAACCGAGGGATGTTTTTCTTGCTTGAATCGCTTTTCCTGCCAAATCAAAAACATCTCTTCACGTGATATTGTTACGTTTATTTGAAATTGAAAACGATTTAAATAAAATAAATATATATAGGTGTTAATGTAGTTGTGGTAACGTGGTTACATGTTATATCATCGCTGTTAATTGATGTTTGTTTGTTTGATGATCGATTACGAGTAATTTACATTAGCAGACTGCTGAATTGCGCAACTATAAATTATTTACATGCGAATTATTGTGGAAAAATCGACCGATACACACACACACACATACATACACGTAACAGACAAACAATGAACGTCGGCGTGTCATTATCCAATTTTCGGTTATTTATGTAACGCCTGTTGCAGCAGCATTTACAATTGCCCCGTTATTCAACGACCATAATTGGATTATTGCGCTGCAAGTGAAAGCCGCAGTTTCGCTTTTGTGCAATTCGATAGCCGATATAATATCGTGAAATCAGATCGGGTCGTTTATCCTTTTTAAAAGAAAGCGTGCGAGTATTTTTCGTTCGATTCGTGGCTCATTCTTGGTTGTTTGCAGTAGCCGAAAGGCGGCGGTTCATTAATTCGGCCGGGTGTTTTACGATTACCGTCGAAATTTAATAGAATTCGACGGGGTAAATAAAAAGTAACGACTGGGCCAAGTCGAAGGAAGATCTTCGGCCGGCGATACGAGAAAACTGGCTCGTAACGACAGTGTCGCCCTCCTCCTTCCCTCTGCCGGCTACTAAGGGGCTCGTAAAATTTTATTGCGCCGCGTATTGTTCTCACCAATATTTTATGCTATATCTATATCTGGCTCGTCCGCGTTTCTTTCTCTATCTCTCTCATTTTTTTTGCGACAAAGAAGAAGGGCTCGTTCAGAATCGGCCGTCGTTCGCACGTGATTACCGTGCGCGAATCCGGCCTTGCATAAAACATGCGCGCCGAGCAGCGGCCTCTTTGTTTCGACGATCGTAAACATGTCATAATAAAGTTACGCGGCCGCGGTTAATGGCGTTCGGTCGAGTTGACGTGATGTTGTAAAAAAACCAAAGACCAAGTAGTACCTACAAGTCGTCGTTTGTTTCTTGACCGAAGCGGCGTTCGTGGGAAATCGTTCGCGTTTTTCGTATGCCAGGAAAGCAAAATCGATAACGCGACGAGAAACGACTCCCGTCGCCAAGCGTACTAATTATAGAGAGACCCGTAGGGCAAAAACTGGTTCAATGTAGTAGAGCTGACTCGATACCACCTCGCCTGCGCAATCGGCAAAAATCCGCGTGTTTTGCTGACGCGACCCAATTCACGGAAATAATACTCTCGACCTATTTTCAAACTAATTGGATCTCTTCACAAAGATCCTTGATACTAACTGTACTACATACTGCTTAGTTACAACAATCATAGATACAATATCATATGACTTTTTTTGATATAGATGAACTTGCAACTCTAAAAACAAATAATTGGTTTAATCCTTCATCGATTATAAAACCTTGGTCTTCAAATGCTAATAATAGAAAGTAATTAAGGAAACAACTTCGAAACGGTAACTAATGGAGTCAAGATACGAAGCATTAAAATGTGTGGCACATTATCAAGCACCATGAAGAGCGATATGGCAATGAAATCTTTATTTTAGCATGATGGTAGACTTTCAACTCTGATTCCTCAACGCTGGTAGTCAACCCGGGAAAGTTATTTATGAAGGATTTGTGAGCACACTAAATTTCCGTGGGGTCCTTGGGCATCCCTCAACTTATTCTGGTCATATTAAATAGTACAGGACTTTCCTCAAAAAGTTCTTATTACAAGTTGTGTTTTACTGTCCGTTGTCTCGTAAGCTTAACAAAGAGAGGAATCAAAGGAGACTTGCAACTACGCGAGGAAAGAACTTTAGAAACTTCTTTGCAAAACCATCATTGTAGGTATCTCAGGGTTTTCCTCGTGGGACATTTATACAAACCATTGTATGGTTCTTTAGTTATAAGATAAATTATAAATATACATTATGTTTAATCAGAATTAACAATAACTAACGTTAGAGTCGAGTTTTAACGCGAAATGACGATGGTCAAACATAGATAGCGTTTCGAATTTATCGAGGCATTACGTCGAGTGCATAAAACCGGTGCGATAAAAACGGTCATCAATGCCGGCCGGATACGGTCCTGCGTTGTTGCATTGGCCGTGCGTGCCGTCGGCTATAACACGGCTAATTGAAGAAATACATCACCGGCGGTAACTGCGAGATTAGTATCGCGTTGGGGCGATAGCCGCCGCACCGTGTTTGAATACGTAGTATGTAGATGTCGCGTTCTGTTTGCGCAACGGAGGCGTCCCCGTCGTGTAAATATTTTAAATTAATCTCTCTAAATAAATAGTTAAAACGTTTCGCTAGCTTGCATCTTTCGTTCCGTTCATTTATTCGTTCGTTCGAACGGTTAATCCTGTTGGAGCGGGGCCGGTTATCGTCGAAACGATCGAGACTCCCGCGCGCGGGGACTCCTGGTGAACCGTATCAAAGCGAATTTCGCCGGCAGCTAATTTCTATGCAACAACGTTCACGTTCGCCTCGGCGTGTCTGTACGGGAGGATTATGCACGCCTATTTTGCGCTTTTACCAACGAGCCGACACGATTATATCGTTTACCCGCGAGCAATCGACGCCGTTTAAAAAGAAAATAACCAATTATAGAAGAAAAAGAAATTGCGAGTTAGACAACAAATCAAACTCTCTTTAAATATAATTTAAGTAATAAATTTGAAGTAACAACCTTACAAAGAGGGGCGAGTTGTTGAGGTAAATTCAAAGAGAGAAGTCGAGTCGTCGTTTCGGCCCCCTCTGTAATTACCGTAATTATTAATTCCATTCCGAGGCCTTATCGAGGCGCAGCGCAACGGCAGAAACGTATAATAACGTTTATCTGACTCTCGCCTGTTCGCCGTTCGTTCATTCGAGCCTTTTGTAAACTCGAACAGGCCCGTTACCAACGCGCCACCTAAAACAATTTGCATAGGAATCGCACGAACGTGGAAACTAGGAAAATCTACACTCCGACGAATGCACTCCGTCTACAAACCCCTGTAAAATAGGTGTAAAAGGGGGATGGTTAAAGAACAGGTGACCATAATTGCGTCTGGGTAAAAGTGAGCGATAAGGGATCGCGCAACCGACTGACTCTTTTCGATTCCGATCTTATTTTTAGGCTGGCGGACGTCCGGTCCTATTTACATCTTAATTAAGCACTGCGGTTGATTCCTATCTTCCTTTACTCCCTGCTGTGAACGCAAAGTTTGCGCGTCGTCGTAGAATGGGGACTACATTAAGTTGTTAATGTTGGCCTTGCTACGTGGTTTAACTTGTGCTATTTTCAATGAGGGGAAAACGTGCCAAACAGTTTTAACGATAATAAATAGATGTTAACCAAAGAGAAATCCTGCACGTAACTCATTTTATGACCGTTACCCGTAACAGCTGACGATCACCGCTTGTGCTGCGGCATAGAACACCGAATAGAGTTAAGGCACAGTTAAGAAGCAATTTCTCTTATGTTTTATTAACGACAGTCTCAATTGACAGCCTTTCAAATGCCGTTATTAGAACGACAACGCGACGCTTTCTCTAAATATACAACGGCTTGTCATTCAACTTAAACGTGCTCACGCGATCTAAGAACTATTTGGACCACGAAACTATCAAATAATACCTACAGAATTATAATAATAGCGTGGGAGTTGATGTATGTGCACACTATGCTCCTACTTGAATGGAGTGAATAAAAAACTCATTTATTTGTTTCTTTTGTTGGGTGGCAAGTCCACTGAAGGTCGAAATTAAAATATGAAACGAGCAATGATTGATGGCGACACAATTTATTTACGATCTTTTTTCTTTTTAATTTCAGATTTTAATGCAGTTAAAAAGAAAAAACGGAAAATTGGGGGACCTTATTCTGGAGTATCGGTTTCTCAAATTCTAGCCCAAAGAGAAAAAATGGGGTTAGTGCAGCAACAGTATCCAAAAGAAATTCAAAATCAAATCCAACCTCAGGTAATATTTCTTTAATTATTTAATTTTTTTTTATTAATGTAGAGTTTATTTTAGTTATGGCCGCAATCTCCGGTGAATATGAACCATCCACAACAACCCCAACAACCACGCCTCCAACACACTTACCAACCGGATAACCAGCAGTTTTTGCGGTACCAAAATCACGAGAACCAAGATGGGCAAATTAACAGGGTAATGAGCGACTCACCGGTGGTTCTTAGTGAGCAAATTATGGTACGACAACCGCAAAACATATCAAATCAGCAACAACAACAGCATTCCATGCAATCTCATCCACAAAATAGCAACCCGAACGTCCATATACATCAGCAACAGTTCGTCGCCCCAAATGGGCAAGTGATAAGCATTCAGGGCAGCGTGCCACCGGGGCAAGTTAGTCAAATGCTACAGAACAATGTTGTCGTTCAGCAGGGGTCTCCACAACAGAGGATATATATTAATGGTCAGCCAAGTGAACCAAGCGGTCCGGGCAGGCCTGGAATTCAAATGGTTCCTATTAGCATATCATCTAATCGATCTATACCTCAACAATATTATCAATCTTCGCCACAACAACATCAACAGCAACAACAACAATATCCAGTTTTAGGGACAAGACCTCCTTTTCAACCTCAAAGTAATTATACGAATTGCGGAACGATGCACCATCAACAACAACAACAACCTAAAGTGTGGCAAAATCGTTTGCAAGTTCCTCAACAACCTCCATCGATTATTAATCAAAATCATCACCATCATCAACTTCATCATCATCTTCAAGATCAAAGAGTACCACCTTTGCATCAACATACTCCGCCACCAAATGTTTGGCAGGATGATGTCAATAGAAAAAAAATTAGTAAAGTCAATAAAATCGTGAAAAAACGACCGTGTATTGTTGACCAACAAAATGGAAGAATCATAGAACATCCGTGTACTAATATTGATGTGAGGCAATTACAACAAAATGATCATGGAAGGATGGTTGGACAGTTGCAGCAACAAGGGAACTCTAGTCCATCTTTTATGGAAGATCCTAGTGCTTATTTAGCTCAGCAAACTGCGTTATTGAATAACACTATTAATAGACAAACAGGTATAAATTAACATCATTAACAATTATTACATTTAATTAATTTAATTTTAATAGGTGCAAATCCAACGTTTAGTTGTAACAGTCCTGTTCAACCAACTCAGACACCATCACCTCATAGTATGTCACCAATGAACCAGCCCAGTGGAGTGCCTTTACCGAGTAATATGCCACCATCGATATCATCAACGCAACAGCCCAAACCCACCAATTTTCGACAGAACCAAAATAGTAATGTGATTCACATTATAAAACCACAAAACATTCCTTCCGGTGGTGGTCAATTACAACAACAGCAACAACAACAACAACAAAGTGCTTATAATCAATCTCCAACAATCGCTGTTTTACCTCAAGAAATGGCTGATAGCAGTGATTGTGGTTGTAGCACCGATGGACGATCAACGTACGATCAACATCAACAATATGGTATTCAGCAACAACATGGCATTAAAATAATACAAAATAGACCAGATAGTCAACCGGGTACTCCAAGCAGTTCGGGTACGAATGATGATCCAGTTACTTCTTCGTCGACTTATAATAGCGAACGATCACCGGATTCGAGACCTATTCAAGGTGGTACGGTAAGTACAAGTAACGTATCACCTCAAGATGGATCTCCGAGTCCGCATACGCCGACGCCAGGAGGGAGTAGAGAGGGTACGGTTCAGCATCAGTTTGTTTTTGGAACTCACAATCAACAAAGAGAAGCGACGCAAAAAATGGTCGAGAATTATTACGATTTACAACTACCAAAAATGGTTGTGACGACGATGGCCAGCGGGAGAACGGTTGGTAGTAACACCATCACGTCAGTTCTTGCAGGAAAAGCTAATACTGCAACCGTATCAATCAATACTCCTTCCACAATAATTTCGGGTACTTTACCAACAATGACCACTAAATCACCGTTAGAGATGGTGCAGAGTGTAGTGAGTAGTATTCAAGTACCTCATTCTGGACAACAACAACACCAACAACAACCAAAGCCACCACAAACTTTCCCCGCGGGAAGTCAAATTTTAGTTTCTTCAGGTGGTCAACTTATTATGGCGAATACCAACCAACCTGGAGTGATGGCCCCCCCACCTCCTAAAGTTGTTACTTCAATGCCTCCTATTTCCGTATCACCCATGGTGACTAATGTAACAGCCGCTGTAACTCAAGTGATTCCAGCGGTAGCCCAACAAGTATTAGGTCAACAAACGGTCTTGGTGAATGCGCTTCCGGGACCGTTTGTTTTACAACCGGGAGTAACAATGACCATGGATGGTATGACGGTGGGGCAAAACGCCGTTCAAATACCGCAGTTACTAACCGGAAATGTGATTCCCAGCGGACCGGCGTTATTATCACCCGAAACTAAACGAAAAGGGAAGAAACGGAAAATTCCTTCGCAAACGGTCGCATCAATGTTGCATATCGCGGCCGCCCAACAAAATCAAGGAATGGTCGTGTCGCCGCAGAGCTTTCCTCAGCAAATACAAATGGCGCATAGTCCACAGAATACTACACCAGTCATGCAAGCGCTTACAATCGTTCCTGGAAAAGCTGGCGGTCCTCCGCAAATTGTTATGAATGGAAATGGAATTGGCACGCAACAGTTAATTACCAACTCGCAACCACAACAAATCAACCTGTTGCAACCCGTCAATTTATTGAATGGTGGGATGGTTCAGAACTTTCCCACTATTCAACAATTTATCGTGCCGAATTTGGGCGGGATGGTAATGAATGCGGACGGAACAGCAACGATATTACAAGATACTTCAAATATCGGGATGCAACTTCAATTGCAGAATGTTAACGGACAGAATGTTTTGACTCCCGTACAAAATAGTAATGTTTTTAATGGAGGGCAGAGTATTTTACCCGCAGGTATGGTTATAAGAACACCGAGTACTTCACAAGGAAAAATTATACAACAACAACATAGTCCTGGAGCGGCTCAGTTCTTATCACCGAATGGAGGACAATTTGTTGTAAACGGCCAATTTAGCGGACAATTAAGTCCTTTGGTTGCCAATCAACAGGTTACATTTAACACAGCTCCTCAAATTCGACCAGCAACTAATAACATTCAACAAGGACAACAAGAATTTATTCAATGCGGTCAAATGGGACAAACTTTAATGGTTCCGTGTACACCTGCGGCTAACATAGCTGTTTCTTCGTCAAATCAGAATACTACTTTTGTACAACAAAACACCACGATCGTCCAACAACAAACAACAATGGTCTCAAATAATCAACAATTACAAAATTTTCAACCGACCAATTCTAATAACCAACAACAAAATTTACGCACAACATTAAACGTTGATCATCAAAACTTTATTATTACCAACGATAAACAACAACCAGTTCAAACGTTATTATTCCAAAGACAAAGTCCGCAAAATTCAATAAATTATCGGCAAAGCGTTTCAACACAAACAGCGGTTAACCAAAATCTTCATTCTGTAACTACAACAGCTAGTAGCCCACCAGATACAACTACTCATAGTCCAATGGCTTCCGGTGGGCAAAGTCCACCAACGGCAGATACCACAACACATACTGGAAGTACAGATGATGGTTTATCTCCGGCACCCTCAAATTCTTCGGGATCTTGTGGAGATATTGTTACTTTACAACAAAATAGACATCAAAATTGTTCAATGGTGAGATTTATTAACTCAAATCTTAAACTTATAATTATTTTTGATAATTTTTAGGCTATGGTTCATTGTATATCAAGTAGCGAACCAGATTCAGCAGATATTAATCAATCAACAGAAAATGAATGGAGAAATCACGTGCATTGTAGTACACAAAAACTTGAATTTACCGATATTTCAAGTATAGGCCAATTAAACCATAGCAAAAAAACAAACCCCATCCACATGGCTTTTGCGGAATCATCAACGATAGCTACTGGTATCCACGTGGTGCCTGAAGAGTTAAAATCTCAAGAAACGACTGTGTACAGCTCAAGAAATTTCGAAAAGTTTGTGCATAGACGAAAACATAGTGACACTTTGGTTGTAATGGAAACTAGACATCCTCTTTTCGACGAAGGAGATGATGGTAAGACGAATTTTAATTATACGGATTTGGTAAAAGGTGCTTAGTAAATCTTGTGTGTATTAATTGAAAGAACAAAATAATTGCATGGCTTTTATCATTATTAAATTTAGCTCTGCTTTATAGGCTTTTATGGTGTCGTAGTAAAAAGTATTTATTCCGCATGGTTTTGAGGTATTTTTATTTTTAACTAGCGCCATCAATTTAAAAAAGGAAGATTATTAAAAAAAAATGATTAAACAGGACGGTGTAATAGCTAATTTTAACAAAAAAATGTATATAATCCACAAAAATCATCGCTGCTGGCACTACCCCACTACTAATGGTACCACAACATCTTCATTTCATCATCATTACAAAAACAAAACAAATAAAAACGGCTTGGCGAAAATATTTTGAATGTATCGTTTTAAAATGTGGACGTTTTCGTTGTTTAGTAGAGAAAAACGAAACCGTACAAGAACAACGGCAGAGTTTTTCGGTTGGAGATCTTGTTTGGGGGGCCACTAAAGGCTGCCAATCGTGGCCGGGGAAAGTGGAGAAGTTATCGTCCGATGGCAAAAAAGTACATGTACGTTGGTTTGGAGGGGGTCGATCCTCCACGGAAGTCGAATCGAATGACTTACAAACGTTGAGTGAAGGTTTGGAGGCTCATCATAGTGTTAGAAAAAAATCACGGACGTGAGTTGTGTTTGACTTTTATTAAAAAAATTCGAATTAAATCGGTAATTTGCATTAAATTTCGTATTAGCATGTGTAAGTAATTTTTGTCCTTTTAAACTTGCATTTTGGGTAATTTAGTGTTGATTGTAAATTCATAGAATCGCTTAATTATTATTATTAAAGTTTGTTTCCCTAGTTTTATTATAATTAAGTTGTTTGTTGTGATTAATTTACGTTTTTTGGTTGTAGAAGTAGAAAATTAAATGCGCAGTTGGAGAATGCGATTCAAGAAGCGATGGTTGAGTTGGATAAGGATCAAGAAGAAAAGAAAACGACGACGAAAAAATCGAAATCTGCAGGGGGCCGGTTGCGAAGCAGTCACTAATTAAACTTAGAAAAAAAAACTAAATAAATAAAAAATAAAAACGGACCAACATCGAAAAGAATTTAATAACGAGTATGATAAAATGTAGGAATGAGATTTCTATTGATATATTATATAAACTAGTTTTGAGCGAATTTTAAACTAAATAACAAAAAAAAAACGCTTCTGAATGTGTAGAACCCCGTGTTTTAAACATTATATTACTAGATAAAAAAGAAAAATAATGATAATTATAAAAAAATAACTGGTAATGATTCCTAGAACATAATTGTGAAAGAAAAAAGTTTTAAGGTTCACATATTTTTCAAACGCCTTTTTAAAGAAAAAAAAAACTAGCCAAGTAAGTTTTTTTGGGCACTTTTAAAAGGACGTAAGCCTAAAAAAAATATAAAAATTAAATAAAAGTGGCACCTCTCGCGAGATGGGGGTGCTTTATTTGTACTACTACATATTAACGTTGTATATGTAAAATAAAAAAAAATAAACGAAACAAAAAAATTAATTAATACAAGTGGAAACGTAAATTGGGCTTTCAAAAAAAAACGAGTCGTCTATTAATTAGAGTCGTAATTTAATAACACTTAGATTGTAGGTATATCCAATATTTATAGCGGGTTAATTAGATAAAAAAGAATGAAAAAAAAATAACAAAGCAAAGATTATAGAGAGTGATGAGGACGTTTGAACCATACCCGTTCTTTTAGTTTCTTCAAATTTTTTTTTTGAATTTCTAGTCACCGCGACAAAGGTTCTCGTTTTTATAATATCGACAATAATACCTACTTTTTGATTTCGACTTTTCGGTACTGTGATAAATGTGCAGAAGAATTGCGAACCAACCCAAAAAAAAACCACAAACCAACCAACCATCAAACCGTACGAATACACAGTGGAAAAAAGGAAATAATTAAAAATAACACAAGTTAATTAATTAAAATAAAATTAAAATAAAATAATAGAGTCCGTTCTATAAATACGCGATACGCATAAATACCTCATTTCATTATTTTATTAATAATATCATGGATGATAGAATATTTTTCCATCTTTTAATACTAATAACGGAGAATATACCAACAGTATACAAAAAAAACGTAACTAACATTAAAAATAATCTTAAATAATCATACTAAGCATTTCTTTTTGTTTTGTTACAGAATATATTAAAATCTTTGTTATTAATTTCTTTATTTAACTTGTTCTAGTGTAAAATGTAAATTGTTACAAAAGAAATGTCTTTTTCTTTGTTAGTAATTTAATCTCAATTTATAATGAAACAAAAGTGTTAAATCCTAAATTATTTTCTTTGGGTTTATGTATTATTTCTATTTGATTCTATATTTCTTGTACTACAGCGAAGTTATTAATTATAGCATTAATGAGGAGCAATCATTTTTTCTTGAGTTTAAGCTTAATAATATCTGTAACAAGCCTTCAGGAAAGACGGATTTAATAAATTTTAAGCTTAAGTAACCTGAAACATTCCTTACATCCAATCTCATTTCACATTTTTTTGGTCCCTGTTGCATTGAAGTTCTTGAAGTTGACAAAGTCCGGTTATACCTCAGTATACTCTCACTTTCGCGAGTAAATCCCATAACTCTTCCATTAGATACTTCTTCAACTGCTTTTCTTTTTCAATTTTAACAAATTAATGCATGGTTTATGCAAAACAAATGTTACTTTAACTTATAATATAATCTGAATAAACTAAAAATGTTTCATAATACTTTCGAAATCGAATCTCTATCAATTTCATTGTTATAATCAGAATGAATTGATTTGTGGTTCTAAGATGAGTTGCTGATTTTCTTTCACTTTCTGCCATTTTCAAAATCGCACCTTCCAATATTGTTTCATCTCAAATTTACCATCTCTTCTTCAATAACTTTTTCCAAAACTACTTTGAGTCTATTTTTTTTTAAACTAAGGTATTTTGTGCCTCAAAAGTGTTCTTGGAACATCATAGAACCCATTTTTAGTAACAACATTTGTAGTTAATAAATAAATTGACATTTCTTTTCGATATTTTGAGATTATCAAAAAAAAAGTTTTCTTTTGTAACAAACCAAAGTATTTTGTTTCTTGAATTATAGTATTTCATTTCCTTACGTATTCATTTTATTAAAATCGAGTTGAGATCAAATTACTACTAATAAAATATGTACATCGTTGAATAAGGAAAAAGAATCGAATCAAATTAAGTGTGTTGCGCGATTTAGAGTCACGAGCATCACACGGTGATATCTTAAGTTCGATTTTTTTTTTGATTTTGAAAAATTCTTTTTAACTCAAAAAATCTGTTTTCCCGTCGGCGCGGATCATAATCAAACAATTTTACAACACTACATTTTTAGCTGATGAATGTAAGACAAAAAGAAAGGAAAAATAATAGTCGCTGTTGTATAAAAAAAAAATATTATCGATTTACCACGCATTTTTTGAAACGTGGATGAAGAGAAAAGAAATAGAAGAACATTGTTTATTTTTATAATTGTATTTATTGTTTATATAAATGCAGTTGCCTTTTTTATTAGTTTTAAGATTTATTTTTTGCTTATTTATTTCTACGATTAGTTTACTTAAAAAAGAAAATAATTTTTTCCCATTTTATAGCCTAGGAGAAAATCGTAAACCTCTCTTTGGATCTCTTACGAGCTCACGTAACGAAGATAAAAATATTTCTATTAAAAAAAAAATATATAAATTAATATTGATTTCGCTATTTGTTTAATTTGCGTGTATATATTTTTTAGAGGTACCTGTTTCTATGTTTAAAACGATGACGACGTGTAGTTCTGGTGTAGTATTTTTTCTGTCTGCAAGAGTGTGGTAGACAGAAGCTCGTAATCCAGTGTTATGGTTGCGTGTCGCGGGCGTTGAAGGTTCGCGCTGCAACCCTCCAAAAAAAATAATAATATTTAAAAATAAAACATGTCTGTTTTTATGTAAATATAAATGAAAAAAAGAAGAAAGAAGAAACATTGTATTAATAACGTTTTTATTTTTTCTTTATTTTTTGCCAGCCCAATAAATAAATACTGGATTATTAATTTATTTTGTTTCATTAAACAAATTTCCCATTAAAATCTATTCTTGACTGGAATACGAATGCAAGAAACTCCTCCAACTAAGAGATTGGTATTACAAATTAAAAAAGGAAATTCTTTAATTTTTATAACTACTTTTATAAATAAAACGATTTTTTTGTTTTAGATAGTAGATAATAAAACAGCTTCGATGGGGGTTCCTCTTCATGAAAAATTCAACAATCCCACAAATAAAACTAAACTTGGAATGGATTTTGCAAATACATACCAATTTAAAGTCTAATTTACTCGATGATTATACTCGACCCGAGTCTCATTAACGAGATGGACAAACATTGGGGATTTGACTGCAAAAGGCCACATAAGCATCGTATTATCCGGGAAATTCGGTCCTCATCATATTGATTTTGCGAAAATGGGGTTGGTGTAGTTGTTAATATCGACGTTGCTGTAGGTGTTTAATTATGCAGCAGTTTGACAATGTTTACTGGAATAACAGCGTAATCAGATATTTTTGTTATAAATTGAAATTTGTATTTAGTTCAAAAATTAATAATATTTCTATTAAAAACTCTTTTAGGATTTTTTTTTAATTTTTAGGTCATAAATACCTTCATCTTTGTGAATATGGTAAGAATATTAAATTTGATTATTACTATAATTTAATTTTTGTGACAATTGCATTTATACATTTTTATTTTATGAACGTTTTAGGATGAATCAACTGCTTTAAATTGGAATTTGGATTTCTATATGAAAAATTGAGGATTTCATTGACAGATGGCGCCGAGTAATTTATAATTAATTACGCCACTTTTGTAACCACCCATCAGATGCTTTAAAGGTACTCACTCCCAATTTTTCTGCAATTACTTTTGGATTTTTTTTTATTTTTTTTTAGAAATGGTTCTGATTGGGCAACATTTTGATTTCTAGTTTTCAGAAACAATTCGAAACAGAATTTGTCGATTTTTGAACCCTCACCACTCAAAAAGTCATTCTTCGCTTTCAGTTCTTCGTCAATTTCTTGAAAAATCATTTCTTAGAGTCCATGTTCACTATAAATAAATAGTTTGAGAGCCCAAAAGCATATTTTGAAAGGGAATTTTACTCAATGAAACTTATTTTTTCGCAAAATTTAATAATTTTAGCAAGAAACGTAATCGTAGGGTTTAAACGTCAAAACTGACTTAATATGGATGGTTGTCGCTAGATGGGGTGAGCAACTATTTAGAAGAGAAGGATTTTTTTAAGGTAAAAAAATAGTCATAAAAGTTTTAAATCTTTAGCTGAATGAAGATTAATTTTTCCTTATTATCCTAAAAAGATCGTATATTAATGAGGTTTTATCTAAAAAATTAATTAAATCCTCAAAAATAGATAAGATTTGGGGTTGATTCCAAGATTTTTGTCCGCTTATTAGAGTTGTCCAAGAAGAGCTTTAACAGTATCAACAATTTTTAATGATTAAAATCAAATTTAAAGCTTCTAATACTATTTTTAAAGATATCTTTTTCAGTAAGTGAAGTTGGTAGCTTAGAAAAAATTAAATCAAACTTTGACAGATAAGAAAAAAAAATTACAATAATTAAATCATACATCAAATTTAAGAGTACAAAAACATTAAACGGAATAAAAAAGAACGCGACAACGACGTCTCTTCAATAATATGTAAGGTTATTGACAGGCGAGAACCGGAAAATGGGATTTCGTATTCCACCGCCTCTGCACGGCGCAATGTCGATCGTTTTGTTTGTGACAGAAATTTAATAAATACGAAAAATATTCGAAAAACCCATCGCGATCCAGTTCTGTTCGCCCCTTTTCTTCTTGCTTCTCATTTCTCTTGAACCGCCCTCGTACATCGTGCTCTCTATAAGTGTTTGTGACGGCGAACGTCTTTTATCAAACGAAAAGGAAAACGAAAAATAACGAGATTAAGTTTATGTCATATTGAAAAAGACAAGAAATTGAAATAATTACTTTAAAACTTTTGATAAACATTATAATCTATCTATATAATCTTAATTTTTTTCCTAGGGGGGCAATTAGAATGTTAAGTGGCCGTTGTACCGTATCCAAAATGAGCCGGTTAGCTTTCGTGGGGGTGCGCAATAATGTAGCGAGGTCCCGAAATCCCTTGTAATGAGTTTTAGTGCGCGATGTTCAGCCCAACCCAAGCCGCTTTCGTTCGTTATTGCAATCCGCCCCTCCCCGAAATAATCCCTCTAGACACTTCCAAAAACGTTCAGCCTCCTTTCACTTAATAAGAACTTCTAAAAAAATTAAAATTAATAAGTATTCACAAACAAAATCACTCCATTTAATCTCACCGTATCTTCTATAAGGATAATAAGCAGCTTCGAGAACATCTACGTCATCATCCACATCAATCATAAATAATTCATAAAAATAATAAATAGCCATTCCGCAAACGATCGCTTCGCAAATAGCTGAACCGCAATGGACGAGTAAATACATTGAAAACGACGTTCCTGTATCGTAAACATCTTGATTTTGTACATTTTTTAATGCGTTATAATAAATCAACCAAAATATATGTAAACTAATATCGACAATTGCCGCTACAATAAACGGCCCCAACAGGGGGTACAATCTTAATTGTAATCCGGCGAAAAATGGGGCGAAAACGCATATCATCGCTATCGTTGTGCCCATATTAATTACGCTTCCTCGTTTTGGTTCTTGTTTAACCAAACTAGCGTAAAATATCAAACGTAAAATAATCACCATAAGCAAAAGAAAAGCAAGGATTACTAATAATCTTCTTATGTTGGTGACGATTCTGTACACATTTCGAGTGTTTAATTTTCGAAAGAAAACTCTTGAACGTGGAGTTGATGTTATTCTTTCTGTGATAATCATCACTAAAAATTAATGTAACTTGACACTTTATTTGTCTTATTAAACGCAACCCTACATTTTACATATTTAAATGTCAGAATGTATGATTAAAAAAAAACTATTTAGCTATACTACTTTTTATTCGCCCGACTCGAGTCCTTGTGAATTTTTCCTCTTCCCAAGATTGAAAAATCATCTCAAGGGAACTAGTATCGAAGTTACAGCACCGCTTTGTGGATTGGAAGAACTGTTTCCAGCGCTGTGTGGCTTCAGAAGGAAGTTATTTTGAGGGAAACAATTACTTAATTTCACATCTCGTATTGTGATTTTATTATGTACTCTTTGAAATCGTATATCTGAAGGAATTCATAGAAAGAAAAGCAGGCGCCAATTACTCGAAGAGAGTCCTGGAATTAACCCGTCGGCTTACGGGCGTAATTAAAATTTATCGCACAGTAAACTTGGAGCCGGGGTTCGGGTAGGGTTTCGTTTTAAAACGAAACGATTTTCCGCCTAGCATCGAGGCCCTGTTGTAGCAGCGTCTTAATTGACAGTGTAGCAATCCGGATGCTGAGCGCCCAAAATTAACAGTCCCATACCGTCCGATCCGAATCTCAACAACGATTTGCACTTCCGCTTAATTATCTCCGCACGTTTTCCAAATAAACCTAAACGGTCCAAGAAAAACATTCCAATAACTTAATCTTTATCTAGTATCATTTTCGCAATTCGTTGAAATTAGTTGTAATTTTGAAGCGGCCGATAATAAACTAAGTTAGGAAAAGAGAAAAAATAATGGGAAAGGAAGTAGTTCCGTAGAAACGATTAATCGACTCGATTTCGAGAGCCAGCAACAGTTGAAGCTATTGAAGTTTCAAGTAAAAACTTATCTAAGATTCACCAATCCTTAATCGAGTTCCTTTTTGCTTGAATCTGATCGGAACGCAAATTGCACAAATTTAATATTCTACAGCTATGAGAAGAACGAATTTATGTTGTCGTTTTGTTTGCCCAACCTCCGCCTATGTAGTATATTGAAAGGAGATACCGTCGCATCGAAGGAAGCAAATACAATACACGCCAAAATTCAATTTCGGCCGGAAGAGACTGTTGTTTGTGTCGTCTTCGAGAGGCTCTCCGTTTTCATTCTAAAAACAATTCAACGTAATATATAAAAGAAACTCAAACAGTAAGGAAAAAAGTTATAAATTTAAATTATTAGAGAATTGTCCATCTCGAAAGATAAATTAACATTGCGGTTCGTGCTCGAAGATTGATGATGTTAATTTGGGAGTTTAATTCGGACGCATAATTATTGGAAACGTTATTCGTTGCTGTCGAAACGATAAATTTGGGTAGTTTATAACCTCACTCACAAGCAACGGAAGATAGGAGAATATCTCTTGATTGAAGAGGACATAGTGGGGTAACTGTTCTGATAACAAGAACCCTATGTGCAACAGGGGGCGTGAATTCGAGAGGGTCACCCTCTCGGACATAGTCCAAACGTTCAATACAACCCTCGTCTTGTTTCCACGACATCTTTCAACAAAAAAAAACATCCCCAATAATGTCTTAATCTTAGATAGTATTTACTGCATACTTAAATATGTTGATGATGCTATTTAATGTGCAGTTGGTTTATTTTTGGGGGGTTTGGAAAAGTCATTTCCTTAATGGAGTCGTTTCGAAGTCAAACGATGGTACGTGATTTTCCTATTTCGGGGGCTGTCGGACCTATTTCGTATCTCGAATAGGCCGCGTAAGAAAACCTCCCATCCACAAGAATTCGTCTTCCTTTCGTCGTCGTGAACGAATAACACGATTTGCATAATGCAGTCCAAGGAGGTTGAAACCCCGGAACCCGGAAGAATCTGATAAGTTCGGAACCCCACGGCAAATCTGTTGCCTCAGCGGGCTAATAAAATACCGGCTCCCGGTGCCTATAAACGAGACGGGGGCCTTGGCTTTTATGGGATAACCTCAAAGGAACAGAACAAAATCTTGTTATTTGGAATTATCATAGTTTATCTTTAGATAACACCAAGAAAAAAGACTTGTGGTGATTTAATTTTAAAATTGATATAACTATGAATATATTCGAATTCGGTATTCCCTCTATCTTTAATTAGCTTAATGTGATTGAACAGGGCAGGGCTATTTATTCGATTGGGATGCTGTTGCGCTGGGCTGTTGGATGCGGTTCGAAGCCGCGCGAGCATAAAAGTTGCAAATAACGGGATCCTGTCGACCGAAAACCAATCATAAATTACGAATGGATTGGATCGAACTACGCGACAACGTCCGCTATTTTACACGGCTTCCATAAATCCAAACCGGGTTCGTGTTTAAATTACCCCAACATACATAGCAGTTCAACATCCGTAATTAGTATCCAATTTTATATACAAAATCCGGTCGCCAAAAGCCTTCTGAACGTTTTAATATCATACGCCCGATTATGTTGATTGATGTTACATCCGAATTGTTGAACCTGATCATTGTAATGAAAGATTTATTATAGTATAATTTGAACGTGAAGTATTTTTAATTTTCGAATATTACTGGAATCATATAACGATGTTTCTGTATCTTCGTATTTCGGGAAAAATCACTTCTTAGAGTCCATGATCACTATAAATAAATAGTTTGAGAGCCCAAAAACGTATTTTGATAGGGATTCTGGCGCAATTAAACTTATTTTTGCACAAAATTTAATAATTTTAGCAAGAAACGTAAACGTAGCGTTTAAATGTCAAAACTGATTTAATATGGGTGGTTGTCGCTAGATGGGGTGAGCAACTATTTAGAAGAGAAGGAATTTTTTAAGATAAAAAAATAATCATCTTATAGACTGCCAACTTGTTGGCACCATGAGCTACTACATCTGAACGCTTGTACCTTCTCTTATAGACTGCCAACTTTTTGGCAGCATGAGCTACTTCATCTATATAGAAACTTGTAACATTTCTTATAGGCACGGCTAAATTAAAATGTTTCTACTTTTAGGTCTAGTGTCTGCTGGCGATGATCAAATTAGAGAATTAAAAAAGAACCAAGATGCTCTCAAAACCATGAAATGCTTTTAACAACATATGGTGGTCCGCAGTCTGCAAAAACATAAAAAAGATGAATAAAACAAAATTAGTTACTTTATTAATTGATTTCAGATCGTAACAATATGTCTTAAATAAAGCTTTATTTAGTTACTTTATTGTTAACCAATTCACTTTACACCCGGTTCATTTCTCATTTCGTTCCATTTTATACGATCGTTATCGCGATAGTAAAGTAGCCAACCCGAGTTTAATTGAATTGTAAAAAATACATAGACTGAAACGTTTACTATAGGGATACGAGACCAATTTGAAGCGAAATACTTGTTTTGAAATGAACGTAGTAAACTTTATGTTTTCTCGTCCTTAAAGTTTTCCTGGTCAATGTACCGTTTTGTTTTTTATATTCGTGGAAGTTTTTATGTCCGATTACCTTTTTCAAATCATCCTATATTTCGAAAACAATAACGAAAGAAAAACAAAAAAAAAAGACAAATCTCCGGAGGCGATTCGCGTCGGAGGCCCGATTTCCGAAAGATACTTTAGCGGAAATTATTGTTTTCCCAAGTCGTGGAGCGTGAAGCCCCACTGCAACACAATTTCCAAGATGAACCTAGGATCGAAAAACCATCACTTTGAGTGACTTCTTTCAATCTACTTTTCGAAAGTCGTTTTCGTATCAAAATCAATATGTCAAAAGTATTTTACTTAGAGTCTTATTTTAAATTTGATGTGATTGATTTGAATAATCGATATATTTAGTGGTGAACATTTTGTTTTTTGATTTACGACCTCGACGCCTGCGGTGCCACAGTGACCCATCAAATATGCAAACCGTACCCGAGGGTTACAACCGAGGGTCAGGTTGTGGTTTGTTTTGTAGGCAGCCGCCAGATCTCGTCCTGGGATGGACGTAATGGAAAGGTCGAAGGACCACAGTCCGAACACCAGAGAACAAATCATTAAATCGACGAAAAAGCGACGTCGTTCGGGAAGGTCCGAAAAAAGGGCGTGCCCTTTAAAGTCGGTAACTAAATAACGAACGGGTGGGGTATAACGCCGGAAACAAAGAAACGGTTCTGGGCAAAAAGAGGAAAGGCTCATTAAAAGCGAGGCGAAAGTGGCGCAAAAAGAGGGAGCCCCTTTGACGTAACGAGGCCTCTGCGCTATGCGCTTAACGGGTCGTCGCTTTTTTTGCCTCGGTTTCCTGTCGGAATTTTGTTGTTTTTACGACCGGACCTTTTCGCAATGTCCCATAAAAGTCAGAATGTAGGGAATCGTGGTTTGGATTTTTTTTAACCACAATAAAGTTCGTGTTTGTACTTATACTGAGCATTCCTAAATGTTTAAACTTTAAAACCAATTTAATACTACAAAAATCAGTACTTTTAAAATTTTGAAAATTTTGGTGTCGATTTCAATTCGAAAAGTTTTTATCAATTTAGTATCTGGCTGAACTTTAAAGCCCCGATTCTCGGGCTTAACTCATCATTTATTTAGTTCGGAGCTAGCGTTACTTTTAAGTTTAGCGCGCGTGGCACTTTAACTGACATTAAGTAATTTCTTAGAAAAGTGGGAACTTTTCGTGGTATCGGCGAAAAGTTTCGCCCTGAAAACCGGACCGGACCAATTAAGCCGCACCGTGCATAGATCGGGCACCCAAGTCCACAGTAAGAATTTAATTAAATTCTTCTTTACCATTCGGTCGCGGACACTCGAACGTTTATTCCCGGAATTTTCTCGAGGCGCAAGCCCTCGGAGATTAACGTAATCATCTTATTTCCTAGATATTAAGTTCCGTCTGCGGTTGGGGGTCGAGGAGGGGTTTTTGGAGTAAAATAAACTCCCGGTAATTCCCTTTCGACCCTTCCCGACTTACCCGAACGAACAATGCCTTCATTATGACGCACGGCTTTGTCAAGATTAATTCTCCCGTTGACGTCGTCGCTTTAATTATCAACCAAAATAACTAACGATACGTTAATATTAGTTTCAATTTAAAAGAATACAATTAAAGTTAAGATTTTTATATTTACTTATATTTACGTCGTGTACAAAAGAGAGATACAGTTTCCATAGTGATTAGAACTTAAATTTAGTGATCAATTTCAGTATCCAGTAATTAGTGGCAATATCTATAGTGCTTCGTTACAGCGCCCAGAACTTAGAAAGAGCAGTCATAGTGATTAGAAGCACAATTTAGTGATTGATTCCAGTATCTAGTGTAATTTTGGTGATGGTTTTAGTGTCTAGTGGATGATTCTAGTATCTACCAGATAACCCCAGTGTGTAGTGGATGATTTCATTATTTAGAAGATATTTCGAGTATCCAGTTGTTAGAAGCAATATATATATAGTGCTTTTTTTCAGTGCTCAGAAGTTAGGCACAGTGTTTATAGCGACTAAAACCTAAATTTAGTGATTATTGCAGTATCTAGTGGATGTTTCCAGTATCCAGTTGTTAGAAGCAATATATCTAGTGCTTTTTTTCGGTGTCCAGAAGTTAGGCACAATTTCTATACCGGCTAGAACATGAATTTAGCGATGATTTTAGTATGTAGTAGATGAATCCAGTATATAATAATTAATTTGAGTATCTACAGCGATTGATTGCAGGGTACAGAAGTGAGATAAACTAGATCCAAAGATTACCAATTTTGGGGTGGTGCAACATAAATAAAAAGTTTGCTTTTTGCCTGATTTCACCTTACCCTAAAAGATTGAGTATAATTGTATAATTTAGTAGTATTTGTTTTAATGCAAATAAAGACTTTTGTAATACTATTGGTGTCTTTTTGTAGTCAATTTTCCTGAATGCTGTCCTGTTGTTGCACTTGAACTAGCATAGAGGGGAGGACAATGGCACCTTCAAAGGAGTCAGGCGCACACCGGGATTACTGCCCGCTCGCTTGTAAAATTACAGGATAAAGCTGGGTTGGCAGAAAGGGACCCCGACGATAGCGTAAACATTACTTCGTCGTGATTCCTCCTTCCAACTTCTCCTTTAATTGAACGGATAACGTCCGAATACGAGTTACCTTGTAGTTGGGGCTTTCTTAAGCCGTCACTAAGCAAACATAGGGTTTGAAAATACAAACAAGATTTAGCAAAAAAAAAGAAATAAGGAAATTTTCTTTTACGAGAATAAGGGAAATTGTCTTGTCTGCGGAAGTGCAGAAGAAGGATCCGGAAATTAAATAGGACTTTACTTGTCGCTCAATTTACGGATTAACTCAAAAGAGCGAACAGCGAAATTGAAAATTCTAATATAGTGTGTGGGAAAAGGGATGAAAGTTGTTTGGTTCGGAGTCGAAATGGTTGTCCCGAAAAGTATATCTTTATACTCGAGTCAGGCAAAATTCTTGGGAATAATCCCAGTCGGTTTAATTAAAAAACAACAAACCGCAAAGTTCTATTCCCGCCCTAGCAGAAGCAATTACAGCACGCAGTTAGCTCTCCATTCGCGACCACGGTCGGCGAACGAAACGAAACAATCCGTTTTCCAGGATCGGGGTCCTTTTTCCCCACGCAATTAATACGAGAGAAGCGGTACTTGGTTTAAAAAAGAATTATTGCCGCGACGAATGAGGAAAAATAAACACCATTAAAAACAGAACCGTACTGATTACGGCAAACCCTAATTATTCCCCAACGAATTAAACTTTTTACCGCAAATTAGGATCGATTACGAGATGCTAATATACTCTAAAACCAACTCGAATTTTTTTTTTAATGATTTTTTTCTTTTCAATTTTCTAGTAGACGCCAACCGAATGACTAATACTTTTGTTCGTGTCGTAGAGACTCCGCATCCAATCGGGTGGTTGCTTTTGTCGTTTCCTGATGGAGTGTCGCGTCCAAAAAAGAAGAAGGAGGGAAGGGGAGCTTGAAAAGCGAACAGAACAAGAGGAAGTCAAAAGCTGGGCCCGAACTTTATATTTATCCTCGAAGGCTGAAGGAGGGAGGTGACTTCCTAGTTTAAGAATCGGATTTAAAATCTCGTGGAGCACAATGCCCCGGGATGGAGTTATTTAACTTTTCTTGGGGGGTGGTGAAATTATATCGATTGTTCGTGGGGCTCGCTACTCGCCGAGTCCATTAGACGCGGTTTTTCAGGTTAACCGCAAGTCGAGTACTTTCCCATAATAACGATTTTCATCCTTTAAGCGGAGAAATTACGACGTTCCACCGTTGATACACGTTTTAATTCCGTTTGTTTCGTGAATCAACCGAGAGGAATTATTCTTCACGAGGCGGAATAATTAAGATGCAAATTCCTTCCATTTCAAAATCATCTCTTCTTGTTGTTTTAACAACGTTTAAAAACCAAAAAAAAATTATTTACTTGCAAGAAATAGAAAGAGGCGTAAATGGCTTTCTTTGGAAAACTGCGTTCGGATAATTTCCCAAGAGGAGACGTCGCTAGATGTCATCCAAAAGCTTCTACGTTAGACAGAGACATACAACGTTTACTTTTCTTTCCGGCGAGAACCCTGAGGATGGTGTTGCATTATCGGCTGAAATTTCACAGGCGTCAATATTTAATATCTTCCTACCAGAGACAACAGTAAAACTTTAACGTCACACAACAAAATATAATCTACTTAGTTTTTAATAATTCATCTTGGTCAATTCGTTTGACTTTGTAATTTCGCGTAATAAGACGTCTTGCCAAGGGGGTAATTATTCCACATTACCTACTTCTCAGACTTGTACATAATTAACTTCTTACTGAATATTGTATTCGATGACGTTTCCACAACTCAGGACATCTCCACGACGCGCACTAAACACTGACTCAGTGGTCAGAATACATCGAAAACGAACACCCAATCAATATTTTAAGTGGTTTTATTCGAATAAAGCTGTTCAATCACTAATAATTAAATGCAAGATGATATACTACGGTGTTATTATTATGTGTATTGAATTAATTTCTTTTGTGTCTACAGGACCTATTTCTTGCACGTTATCGTAAGTACAGTAAAAAATTGATATGCATGATTTACTTCATCTATGTCTATCCATCTAGGTCTAGTGTTAGTTCTAGTTTTAGTTCCATAAAAATATACAACAAGGTAAGGCTACTAAACAATTAAAACTAGAACTAATACTAACATTAAAACTAAAACTAGACTTAGAACTAGAATCATTCGAGTTTAGCCGTTTTAAGAGACGTTCGGCTAAACCCAAATGTTTTTAGTTCTAGGTCTGGCTTGAAAATGTTAGTGCGGTATATCGAGGTTTTACTGTATTAAGAAATGTCTTAAATCCAGAAGATATTTGCAAAGATATTAATTAATGTCTTAATGTAGTGTAAAGTTTTAATATATTTTTAGATGCCAACCTGGACCTAATTGTAAAAAACCTACATGTTCTTGCCCAAATGGTTACTTAAAGCACCCAGTTTTATTAAGACTTTGCAATCCAATCTGCTCACAACCCTGCATAAATGGATCTTGTATTAAACCAGAAACATGCGGTTGTAAAAGAAATTTTATTCTAAACCCATCCAACAAATACGAGTGTATATCAAAATGCGCAACTTTCTGTTCGAACGGAACTTGTTCGCCGCAAAATATTTGCGTTTGTAATGACGGCTTTAAATTGGATAAATTTGATAAATTTAAATGCAATCCGCAATGTTTCAACGAATGCATCAATGGATTTTGTTCCGCGCCAAATATATGCACTTGCAATGAAGGATTCCTCTTCGATCATCAATTTCAATGTTTACCTGATTGCAGGAAAATTTGTAAAAACGGTAAATGTAAATTTAACGGAAAATGTACGTGTGGGGAAAGATACAGTTTAGATGAGTTTAATCCATATAAATGCGTACCTAATTTTAAACCCGAATTTAAAATTAATTATCACGAAAATTTCGAAATAATCACAAATAACAAATACGAAGAAGAATTTATCGAACAAAGCGTAATTAATGAAACTCAGGTTACATTTTCAACTGAAAATGATTTTGAAACAAACCTCAATGATAATAATGAAGAAAAATTGATTCAAAACTTTACCACTGCAATGTATGAAACTGAAAATAATTTTGAAACAAACCTCAATAATAATAATGAAGAAAAATTGATTCAAAACTTTACCATTGCAATGTATGAAACTGAATTGTATGAAACAACTTTAATAATGAAAAATGAAATGATCGAGATTACCACAGAAACTAATGATAATGATATTTTCGAAAATAACATAATTTTACCTCGAAATCTTTGTGATATTGGTTACATTTTAAAATCAAACAACTGTGTACCACATTGTGAAACACCTTGTATAAATTCATATTGTTCAGGTCCAAATATATGCACTTGTAAAGAAAATTTTCTACCGGATTCAAAGTTAGAAAATAAATGCGTTCCAAAATGCGAAATGGAATGTGTTGAGAACGCAAAATGTATCGATGGAAATATGTGCGTTTGCCTGGAAGGATACGAGCAAACGACGAATCCTTTCCGATGCAATAAACCTGAAAAATTGGCTTCGTGTACGCGAAAATGTGCGAACGGGGTGTGCGTCGAAGCGAACACTTGCCAATGTAACCCTGGATACGTAAAAGATCCGAAAGATGATTCATCTTGTTTACCTTCTTCGTGCGATGTGGATTGTATCAATGGAAAATGCGTTTGTCGATGCGATAAAAACTTTGAGTTTAATATTACAACGAAAAGTTGCGAAAAATCGAGTGGAAAAATAATGATTTATAACATTTATTTAATAGTTATAAAAATCATTCTTGTTTATTTATAATTACTTGATTTGTTAAAAGAAAAATAAATGTAAAGTTTACCTTTCATTAAATAAAAGAATGCTTTTTGCGAAAGTTTACTTTTATTCGTTTGTGGATGCAAAAAATGAAAAACGAAAATGAGGCCATTAATTTAAATTAGAACCGGCAACGGACATCGATCTCAAGCGCTAATTGGTAGCCGAAGAAATTTACAACGTTCGCTCCTGTCTTTTCTACCTGGGAAAGCGGCTTCTCAAATTTATTTATCGCCCGAGGGATCTAATTGAAAGTCTTATAACCGTTTCCGGTATAAAAAATAATATGTGCTACAGCGTTTTTACCCGTTTTAATACCCAACAATTTAACCTACTTCGAGTTGAATTCGGGAGAGTTATTAAATATAATTCAGTATAAATTCTGAGTTCGTGCTCGGAATGTTGGTAGCAGGTGCGTTTTCGGTTTCCTTTTTTTTTATTTCGTTGTTTTTTCTTTCCGAGCGAAGGGGTAAAATACTTTTTAAGTGGTCGTTTGATTTTAATGCTTAACTTTGTCAGCAGATTTACTAATGCGAAAATGCACCTGCAATGCGACCAATATTTTTCATCAGCACACAGGAAAAACGCACTGAATGATAAACGCTTTTGGACAGCGCAGCACTTTTAAAGAGATAACGCCTACTTTATTGCATGGTAACGGCGGTTTTCGTCGGAACGAAATTGCATCTCTACAGTAATTGCGTATCTAAAAAAGTTTTGTTACCATTAAACTTTTCATATTTCCATTTCGAATGACATCTTGTAGATAAATTCTCGTTAAAAACTATCGTAATGGCATCGTGATTTCAATTTATTTTTGTTGGTTAACATTTAAACCAAACAAATTGAAGTTAAAATGAGTGATGAATGATTCTTTTCTTTAAAAACATACATATAGTGAAACATATACGTACATGAAAGCTTCTTGGTAAAGCTTATACGGTAGGGTGGTTTTCAATTCGAAGGGGGTGAAATGTTCCCGTTTTGATCAGATACCGTCGTCGTCGTCGTCAAGTGTTCTCTTTGAGTTTAGACGAAAGGGAACGGTGTCGTGGCGTATAATAACGCCGGAAGCGGCGGTAATTGGCCGCCCTTTCCGTTAATTATGTAATTATATAGTGCGTTAAATCTCGAATGAAAATTTCGACTAATTTTCTGCCTATTAGGCGACTTAACGAACTATGATGGGTAAAGCCCAAGAATTATATTGATGGATTTCCAAAAGAAAAGAAAATAAAGGGGAGTAAAGAATGTAAAGCGATTAGGATGTGTATAAAAAAAGAAAGAAACAGTGGGGTCATCGTAAGAAAACGGTAAACGAGCGCGTGGGATGCAGTTGCACGTCTTAAAAACAATAGGGAAAGAGTCTTGAAAACATCTCGAGACGAAACGGTCGCGTAAAGCACCGTTTCATACCCCGCTTTCCCGGAGATAAGGGTAATTTATTTCTCCGGATCTCAGAGACTACTTAAACTTTACAGACTGAGCCCAATTGCAAACCGTTTTTTCTCAGTAACCTTAATTTCCTTATTTATTTTAAAGGTAAAATTTTCATGATTTGTAAGAAAGTTTTAATTCGAATGCAACTTCTTGGAAAATTAACAAGCGCCTAACTAGGAGAGGAGGAGGGAGAAAAATGTAAATCGTTTCGTTATCATAATTTATTTCGAAAGGCGTTTTAATTAAATAGCTACGTCAAGAACGAAAACAAGGGTTTCCCGAGGGAAGTTTCGAGCGAAGGGAAGAATAGTAGCAAAATTAATGTCGGGGAAGACACAATGACACGTGAAATTCGCGGGGAAATTGGAAATTTTAAAAGACAGAGAAAAACATCTCCATTTTCACCGCTGCAGAAGGCCCGATTTCGATACACAATTGATTGGTACTGAAAAAGCGTACTGCAACCGTACAATATCCGGTTTGTTTCCGACTATAAATCAACGGTTAAACAACGCACGGGCAACCCTCTAGTTTTGGTCGATCGTAAATCAAATACTTCACGTTCAAAAACTGGCAGTTATTAATTATTTATCAAAGGAATCAATTTCCTATCGCATTGTCAACAGTGTAAAACAATAATTTATAGCACTTTTCAATATAAATACTAAATCGATTTTTAATTGACCTCCGCTTTGTTGAAATTTAATTAAAAACGAAAATCATTGTATCAATTAAAAATTGATTAAAATAACTGTGGTTTTTGTAAATTATTCCAAATATAAATGATACACTACCAAATTTCGTTCCAAGTGAATGTTTTAAATAATACTTTCAACGACAGTCAATTTTGAACAGAGTTTACATTTAATAATAACCGATCGTGTTCGAATAAATTAACAATTTTAAATAAATATGTTGCTCTCTCACCGTAAATGGGAACGCATTGTTAAAATTAAAACTCAATTAATTAATGAAAATATGTTACGATTTCATTTTCGGGTAATTTTACGGTTCATTTGATTATTTATTTCTTTTCGGATTCTATTTTTTTATTTCGATTACAAACGCGTAAAAGTGGCGAAAAAATTTTTGCACGAAAACATTAATCAAAGCTGCTTTTTTGTCACGAGCTTTTTATCGGTACAACACCTTCCAAAAACTGAAAAGCACGCAATTTATTACAACCGTGGATTTATTGTGGCTGTATTGATGATGGGTTATCTTTTATTCCAATTTTTTTTTAACTCTTTAAAAACGATGATTTGAACAACAATGATTTACGATGAAATGAAGAAAATTTTGATTATTATAAATATCTATCGTTTAGACGAACCTTCTTTGGTTGAGTTAAACATTCATAGCCGATTCCGTAGTCAATTTTATGCAAAACGGCCACGAATCGAATCGAATAACGTTCGAGAGTTCGATCCACTCACCTGCTACATTTCATTTTTGCCAACTATAGGAGGGTACATAAAAATCTCGAGGGATTGCTGAAGCAGAACTGTATTTACAGCAGTCGTATAAATTTTATACCGAATAGGTATAGGTAGGGAAGAAGGCGTCGGGAATTCAGGTTAAATAACTACCCACCACAGAGATTCAATTCATTCAATTCAGTTTCACCCCGCTTTTCCCCGTTCTAAAACGTAGAAAGACAGGGGATGGTTTGTGTACCATATCTTGAAATGCAGGCGTGAAATTCAATGGGTTCTACAATACAATATCTTCTCTGACCACGCCATCAGATATCTAAGACAATTATTGTTCTAACAATGCATCCCCGAGAATTTTGACGACTTCATTGTGCCATACAAATGCAAATAATGGTTGTGTTGTAACTAGTCAAGGTATTGTTTCATTCCGACCTAAACAGATCTTTTAATATGAATATATTTACGTTATTTATTTCTATGAGTTGCCATCTTGCGATTGTGACGTTTAAACTGTATTCCTTGCATGTTTTGATAAATTTTCCAATATGAGGGAAACTACAATAAATAGATATAGGAATGTTTATAGATAATTTGTAGAGAATTAAATTCCCTTTCTGATAGGTTAAAAAAATATGGGGCGTTCCATTTAAAATTTTCGACTTTCTGACCATTGAATATGGAGTAATTAAATTTTTGACCATTCTGTATAAGAGACTCTGATATAACAAATGATAATCTATTTGACAGTATCTGAAGAGTAATCGTGCCAATTTAGAGCTTTTTTGAATGAACGTTGGCTGAGATATGGTGAAAAAGCATGGTGAATTTTCCAAAAAAAAGCTGAAAACCAAAATAACTCGAAAACGAAAAACGCTAGGTATCAATAACTTTTATCAAAGTCAACATATTTTTTTAAGTACAATTATAAGGTACAGTAAATCTAGTTCTAGGTGAGGTGTATTATTTTTTCCATTTTTTTTAGATTCAATCATAAAAAGCATTTTTTAATTTAGCCTTTTTCAAAATATTTCCCAAAACAATAAATAACTCGCGAACGAAACCGGTCGGAGAGAAACGACTTTTTGAGCAGTAATTAAACAGCGACGGAGTGATTTATACCTCGACCTGTCACCTCTCCAAATTTCGCATCGCCACATTTCGTAATACACAGTTATGTAATTTTGAGCTCGCGAAACTTGGAACCGTTCATCATTACCAACTTTTAATTGATGCGCCTTGCACGTCAAACGTAATTGAACTTTCCGGTTATTGTCGATAACGATAACTTCGGTTTCAGTAACTGGAAAGTTTTTTTCTCAGAACAATGTATTTAAAGGATTTTCCACCCGTCACGGTTTTAATTAAAAGGCGGCTGCTAATGGTAAAAACTGCGCTTTGCCGCGAATATCCGGTGCAATTAGAGACCTAGTTGAAACGTCAACGTTTATCTTTCGTAATCCGTGCTTTGAGCGGGAATATCAGCACAGTTTAAATAATGGCCGAGGGAGGATGTGTTTTAGCGACGAATATTTACATTAATCTGTGTATAGTGAGAGTGAAATTGTTAAAAATATAATAATTTAAGTAAAATGACACACCATCCAATTTATCTTTCCCCCCACTTTCAGTTTGAGTTTATACAATTTTGTATTTTTTCTTCGCTTAAAATACGATGCTCGTTACGCGAAGCGAATTCACAAAACTTCGTCCCGAAATTGCGGTCGTTCTTTGAGCGAACTCCGAGGCGTCGGAATCGCGGGTATTTGCATGCGAAATTAAAGCTATAAATGTGGGGTGGTCGCCCACCCTAATGCGCAACATAAGTAGCCCAGAACAGATGTTAATTTGCCCGTGGAACTTTGCCGCGTACACCCCACAACCAGGAGGAATTAAACGAAAATTAAATTGCAACCAAACATGCACTATCTGCGCCTGTTGTCTCGGATTGGAGCTTTCCTAACGCTTGGATAATATGCAAACCAGATTGACACTGTTCCAAAACAATACAGAAACTCCTGTTTTGTAATTATATAATATAGTCGAATTATTGTAGTTGTATTGTTAGATAGTGTTTCCATAAAGTGCTTTGCTTTTAAACGTGTATCAAATTTTCTTATTAAGATCTTATTACCTACTTTTGGGACGTTGCTTTTAAGTATTCTCTTTTTTATTTTGAAATTTTATAAAGCATTGTTGGCAAAGTTTTCCACAAAACCTCTCTCATTACTTTTTACGATCCCAGAGCATGATTACATAAGCTAATATAGCATTACAGTTGGCTCAGTCGTTCAATATGTATACGACCGGGGATGCGAAGCTCAGAGATATGAGATAGTTTGGCATTGTTACCCTACCAACTGCTTTCCCCCAGACTCGTATAACTTTCGGTTATGGCCACGATGCGGCATCTCCAGCTTTTAATATCAACCGTAAATCCTCACCATCAATAATAAAACGTTAATGAGAAACGTCTGTTTAAACCGTTTCTAATTGATTTAAACTAAGTAAATTCTGAAACGTGATTGTAGTTCGTGAAAGGAATTCAACATTTCCATTACGTATGAATTATACTGGGGGAATATGCATGAATGCGAATAATATAGTCGGCGGAACTGAAATATTCAGCAATAGAGAGATATCCGGATCTCTCGGTTCGCTGCTGATATCAATTTCAGAGCGAAACAACTCGCAGCGTGATGAGCAACAAGAAACAAAAAAAAAATGAAAGGGGAACGTGATTTACAACATCGTCTCCGCAGGGAAAAGAAAAATAGCGTAGCTTTTCGATCTCTGCTCGGATGATCTTACGATATACAACGCCTAGTTTTGATTTAAAGCTTTTCGAAGAAAACTCTTCGATAACCCAGCAGGAAATAAATATTGAGTAAACGATTTCGAATTACAAATATACCAGAGTTTATTGAAATTGAAAGAAATCGCTTTAGAGGGGAAGCATGTCTGGATTAATTTGAATGAGAATACACGTCGGATATTACTCCAATAAATCTCTCGAGATGGTGCAGTCATCGTTATAATCGTAGACGTCGACAAGGCTAAATTTCTCACCGTGCAAACTGACGTTATCCTTGAAATCTGCCAACCGTTAACTCGGTAGATAAACGACTATAAGCACTCCATAACGGGGCCGTATGCGTTGTAAAAGATAGACGTGAACCCCGGAGACCCCACCGAAGTCCTTTATGACAGACCGTAATCCAAGTCCCAAACTCAAAACTTTTATCCCGCGGACTTTTACGAGGACCGAATAATAATAATATAGGATTACAATAAATAATCGCGAAACTTCACCTGCCGCATTACATATTTATGCGAGGTTTCAAAACTTTTCGAAATAAAAAAAATGTGAAAGTTTTTTTTTAAAAGAACTTTTAATTATCCCCGGAATTTGTCGGTTCCTTCAACGCCGGACAAAGAAAATATATAATCGCATTAACATAAATTGATTTTCACGGATATGAGAAAATTCCTATTGACGCCCGCCTTTCCCCGCTTTCCCCACAGTTCGCGATTTTCCCGTTTTGGAGCGAGTTCCAGAGCGTTCGAGAACTCAACGCTAGATTATATTCTGAAGTGCCGTTTTACTTACTCCTTCTTCGTCTTTGTATGTGTGTGTTATTTTTATAGTACAATAGTGGAATTTAATGGAATATTTCAAATTCAAAAGATTTCTTTCATTTTAGTTTTCTTAATAGTTAATTTAACAACAGTATTTTGAA